ACCAAATTTTCAGAATGATCTTATGTCCCGTTCTCCGTAAACGTCTAAGGTGCCATCTACCGTGACCCACCCTGTATATATATCTTCATATGAGGGAGAATGCAAATTCTCTACTTCGGAAGATTTTGTTTTCAAATTCTTATCGTTTATGTTCAATAGATGTATATCAATGGTCGTCGTGGCATATAGCCAGTAAAGTAGTTGTTTTCTGTTGAATAAACCGAGAAAGATTTGATATTTTCATCACATTGGGAATGCGAATTCTCAATGTATTTCTTCATATATATATATCCATTATTTGTATGTTCAAGTGAGAAACTTGATTATTCGACATCCAATGTTAGACTATTCTGACACTTTGCTGTTACTATATTATTCTCACTTGTAATACTAGATTAGGTTAGATTATAAGATTATATTATGACGATTCCTATACAATGTAATATTGTCTGAAAGGAAAATGAAGATTAAGTAAGTAAGTAAGGAAGTATTACCATCTAGACGCGGTAGGCATTTGGCATCTACAGAGTCTAAAATGACTTCAACAAGACCCAAAAGGCTCTCCGAATCACAAGAGAGCAGATGGTCTGAGAACATATTTTCCGAGATGATAACGTGAAATCAAAATTTGAAGAATGAGAGGATATTGCAAGAAAACAGATAATCTGTGGGCGAATTATCTGAGTGGAAATGATCTGAGACCATTTTTTGCGAGATGATAATATGAAGGCAACATGTTTGGGAGGATATTTTCCGAGAACAAAGGACCTCTGCTCCCAATGATTCAACTTCAATCTAGTTATAGGATGATCTATTTGGGATGACATTTCATTGACAATCAATGTTATTATCACATGTCACATGTCTATCTGAAAACAGTGAAAACACTATGGAACTAATTAAAAGTCAATAAAATTTTATTGAAGACTTTTTTCGAATCATTATAGTGATTTATTGCTTTCCCTTACAGGTACTTATATTGGTTTCTAGAGGAAAAAGAAATAAAAGTCCCAAAGTCTGTCGACCACGAAAAAATGTTTTAATATAAGTAGTGTAACTAGTTTCGGCCACAGGCCATCATCAGACACAAGAATGATGTATTCGGAAGTACCTAAAAGATGATTATAGACATTGAAAAAGGGTCAAAGAGTGGATATACAAAAAAAAATTAATCGAAAGCCTATCTAAAAGATGTTCAGTAAAATCAGATCAGCATTATATTAATAAAGAAAAACAGCACAATTTATCAAAACCTCTAAAAAATTCTCTCACGTGAGATTCATCAGGTTATGCAAAATGCAAATGGAAGCTACGACGGAATTCAAAGAACCAGACACATCATAAATCACATGAAAAGTAAAACATGACAAAGAACAAGTGACACACCACTTATATTGAAAATTTTTTTCGTGGTCAACAGACTTTAGGACTTTTATTGCTTTTTCTTGTGAAAATCAATTGGACCACTTCGAGAAATATGGATGGTTTCCACGATTCAACGTAAATTGGTGGCTGATGATGGCCATATAGGCCGAAACTAGTTACACATACTCATCGTTTCAAATATAATTTTGTGGTCGACCAACTTTGGGTTTTTGTCTTTTTCCTTCGATAGTGATTTATCATTTCCTTTTTTATGTGAGATTGAAAGCAGATTCTATGAAATCAGAACTATCATGAAAATAAATAAACAAAATTATTCATAACTTTTTTGTATCAGCAATACTTTTCACGTCAATGAAAATGTGAATTCAAGATTTTCTTCAATACCTATACTAATTACTATAGTCAGTACAATGATTTATATAGGCGTGGTCATTGCTCAAGTGATGGAGATCTATGAATATTACTCACAACACCGTTAAAAATGTAACAGCAAGGTCTTTCAGTGGTATACTTTAATATAAATAGGTTGCACAACTGAAACCATTCACGATAATTAGTTTTGAAGTGACTCGATCAAGTGAAATGGCTTAGTCATTTTGTAATATGACATCTGGTATTCCAATTTCATTTTCTCGATATTGGAATGAAATCAATAGATTTGTGGAATTTTTTTGAAGTTACAAGATGGTGGACTTTCAATAAATCCTTATAAATCCACAGCTACTTGATGAAATCTGTGAAAGTTTTTAGTTTCAATAAGCAGTTGAATGTAGAGTTCCTTAATTGATTTCACGATTTTTTGTTGAAAATTTCACACCAAACATTTTCCTGTATTTCGTATCGTTACCATATAGCAACTAAACAAATTTCTTGAAAATTTTCTCCTTCTCCTTGGGAAACGGAGCATGAAATTACACTGGGAAGTTTTTGACGTTTATAGGTTAAATGGCATTTACATTCAACTTCAGATCATTTCGAGTTCATTCTATAAGTGAATAAAGGAAAATCATTTATCAACAGTTTACCATATAATATTATGTGGGTAAACTTGCAAATTCAAAATTCACAAAAACACATGTTGTTACTATACGTTAGTTTTTACATTTCATCACAAACAACCATCAACATGTAGATTTTCTTACCGAATACCACTTCAGCTTCAATTGATATCCGGGAATTTCTTCTCGAACACGAATATTTCGAAAATTTTTCCGAAAAAATTTCCGGAAATAATTGAGGCTCTCGTGATATTATATAAGTGATGATGATTTTTACTCGGATTTTTTAGCATGCGAGCTATAAATCTTTCTCAGTCATTCATATTCGCATGACGTCTCAACAACTGGAATCAGTTACGACCGAGGTATACAGAGTGTTTCCACAATCGGGGCAATAAATTAAGTGGCATGTTCTGAAAAATATATATTTTCTTGAGAAAAATTGTTATTCTTTCATTTCATTTATTGCCCCAATTTCCGAAACACCATGTATACAGTAGCTACGCGATATTGTTTTCCCAATGTGATCACTATTTCATTTATATTTGGAATCCTTGTATTCGCAGTGATGATAATTTTATAGGAATATGAATGAAGTGTTATAACCAGATGAACAACACTCAAAGTTCATCATCATCCATTTTTACAAACTTTTGGCATCATTTCTTTCACTATCAGATTTGTAATTTCAAGACATTTATATCAACTTTACTATATTATCAAAACTGCGAATTCCACTCAAAATTGCTTAGATACTTGTATATCGAAATTTCATGCATTGATCAATAGATATGGGTTGAGTCAGCTCAAAATATTGAATTACTTTGGGTTATATTCCTTTGTGAAAGTCTAATTTCATTTTTGGAACATAGCTTAATCTTTTTATTCAAATGTCTATCTTTTCTTACCATTTTTTTTTCTGAAATCTTTACTATACAGGACGTTTTTGATTCACCGACGTATACTGGGTACCATCTTTATATCGAGAATCATTTGAAAGAAATTCATGAAAATGTGCATGCTAAAATTTCAGAATACGCTCTCTTCATTACGAATATTTTCGACAATGCAGTGTTGCCGCTTCTACTAGAAAAAAGTAGCAACATTGATATTTCAAATTTAACACCCTGTATCTTATCGCATTTTTAGATTCTCTTTCAAGAGTTGATTTTATCTATGTATCACACTTGAGACCTATCGAAAATGATTACAGAGATATAGGATGTTCGAAATCTAGATTCTTCGGCTTCAGGATTTTTCTTGTGTCGAAACTATTCCTTATCGGTCAAAACGGCTCACATGTCCCTATCCTACAGGGTGGTTCAAGTTTCGGAATTCTGATCACAATCTTGGGATCTCCCTAGGGAAGTTTTTATCAATTATCTCTAAATCACTAAAAGTGAATTTATCGTTTTTTACATTTATGCTCCTCACTTGTTCTTGAAGATGCTGATTAATGTTTGAAACTCCACAGTAAAAAGATTACATGCATGCTTAGAAAACAATGGCAATATTTTCAAACATCTCTGATTGTGAATTCAACAGTCTCGTGTCAAATAATTTTGACGTTCAAAGAAGTTCTTGCTCTGTGCATCTGTTTATTTCTTTACTGTTATTTTTTATCAGATCATTGATTATTGTTGAGTGTACAATTTGATGAATGCACCATTTTTCATAGGATTATGGAAAATTCAGGTCTGTTTTCCAAGAAGTATACTTGATGATGGCCAAAATGAGCTCGAAACGCATCAAAAACACAATTTGTGGCATATCATCGGAATCAAAATTGAGAGGGCTATTCGAATCTGATATCGAAATATCAGGGCCTTATTTAAAAAAAATTAAGTTTATGATGATTGCTCAAAGCTGAGACGATGGATCAGAAAATCGATGACGCCAAATTGAATATGGCATCAAAAGTTGCCATGAAAATGGTTTCATTCAGTTTTGTCATCACTTCATTATCAACGCCATAAAAAGAATTGATAGTCCGGAAATTCAGTATTTTGGAAATAACTCAAAAACGCAAAGTCATATCAGAGATTTTTGAAAGTCAGTTTGTTGGTCCTTCATTGGCACAACTTTTCTCCCATTTCACCAATTTTGTTTTACTCATAGGCTCATACTGGCCCTTCTCATCTTGGGCACAGTGTATACTATTATACAAAATAATACAAAACACCATCGTTTTTCCAAATTTCAGCAAATTTGATGAATATGTTCATAAAGGTTATAATAAAAGGTTTGTCGAACAATTCATCTGATTTCATACTAGAAAATCTCGAATTCTAGGTTCGGAAATAATTAAATACTATAATATACTATAAGAGGATGGTTTGCCTGCACAATTTGAAACTGCAGAAACTTCGCATCGATTTTTTCCCAAGTCATTCTCATTCTGAAACACTTTCGAAATTATGCCCAACGGCTGTTCAGAATATTCGCACTGTGATATGCATGATGAAATCCTTGAAGGTAAAACATGAAATCCATTGAGGAACTTTATGTATGGTTCATCATATATTTATTGAAAAATAAATGTCACTAATATGGCAACGAGAAGAAACAGATAATTATAAACTATAATCACAATACTTAACTAAAACTGAACTAATATTATCTTGGGGCACTATGGCTGCTCTTTTGACCGGACCTCTCAACCACAGCGTTGAACCCACTGTTTCCCTTGACGGAATATCTGACAATTCTAACAGAACCATCATGCTCCACGATAGAGTATTCACCCTGTGTATGGTCTCCATCACGTGATTCCTTTTGTGAGTGAATGTCACCAGTGTGGTGGTCTTCTACCCCATAAGAGAAATTGTATACTGGATGAGCCTGGAAAACAACAACTTATACCATACTCCTCTGATTGTACACTCATAGAAACTATATTTGGAGCAATAGTATTGCCATTACAAGTTGAAATCATGATGCTCACATTGAAATTATCATTTGTTGCCAGTCGATTTAATACTATACTCACTTGCTCTTCCTCATGTTGAATGCCGTTTGACCTTGGGGCATATTGGTTGCCCACTGAACTCGCTGACCTTGAACTTGATCCATAACTTTGCGATTGTCCTGATGGTACTGCAGTCTGCTGTACGAAAGATGGAGAATAATGTGACTGAGAATGTCCTGTTGAAGATGGAGCATAAATGTTCAGCCCTTGCGAGTACCCATGTTGGGCTTGTGAGGGTAGTACGTTGGAGTGTTGCAATCGTACTTGAGGAGTTTGCAAATGCAGGGCTTGTATGTTGAGACTACTCGGGGAAAACTGCCCTGTTTGCTGCAGCTGTGGAACTTGTTGGAAGTTGATGCTATGTGATGCAGGTGCTTGTATGTCCAGTTGTTGTAGATTCACTTTTGGGGCTTGTGTGTTGAGACTACTTGGGGAAAACTGTCTCGTATGCTGTAGCTGTGGAACTTGTTGGAAGTTGATGCTATGAAATGCAGGTGCGTGTATGTCTAGTTGTTGAAGATTCACTTTTGGGGTTTGTGTGTATAGTCCAGATGCTTGTGTGTGCAATCGTGGAATTGGGGATGTCTGATGGTTGAAACGCTGGATGGACTGTATTTGTTGTTCCACAGGCACATCCCTGGAGTTAGATGACTTTATCGGCTGTTGTAGAAGGCTGAGACGTACTGAAGGAAGATGATGAACTGGATTTTGTACAACAGGACTCTGTTGGAATGGTTGCTGTTGGAAAAATAGGTGCTGCACAGGTTGTTGATGTTGTAATTGGCCAGGATATACCGAGGAGCTGACTAGAGATGAGCTATCTTGATGGAAGTGCTGGAAGGTATTTTGGTGTTCATTGAAGTTTCTTAATGAAATAGGTACTCTGATTGTCGCAGCACATGTCACCAGAAGCAGAACACTGAGAGCCTGGAATCAGAAAGAGAAAATAAAAATCTGTAGGTTTTCAATATAATTATTGAATAAAGCGTTATCACCAACTTCAAGGAATTATGATTAAGCCTATCAAAATAAATGTGCAAAAAATTTAATATCACCTTAATGACCATCTCTGATCTCGATATGTATGAGTTTCGAACTGAAATGATTCAAAAATATCGTCGAGAGCTTTTTATAGGTAGGTCTGACTTGCAAGATAATTTAGCATGCACCCAAATGAAATTCCAAGATCCATATTAGTTTATTATCTAACAGTCAGGTGGAATAATTGATCTGATTCTGTCGATGTCTGATGATATAACTTTATTTATTGGAGTTTGTTTTTCGATGACATTAAATTATAAGTTATTCAATACTTATGTATCCATGTTAGCAATTTGAATATTCAATGAAAAATCTGATTTTATAGGAGCTTTGTTGTACATCAATATAATTTGACCTCTGATATCATGAGCGAGAGGCCTTTTCACTATCCTGATGAATAACAGACTGAATGAGAGACTTTTCGAGTTATCCGATATGAAATTAATTTTAATCATAATATGTATATCGTGTGTCCCAAATTTCTTCCTCACCATTGGGATCTCGGTAACTATGAGAGATAGAGAGTCGATTAAATTGAAAACGTTTCAGGAAAATCAATTGTGATTCAGAATCCGTTGAGAAATCTTGACTAGAGCTTCAGTTATTCCTGAGATATTCAAGACAAACTGAAATTTTGTATTTTCGTTCTTCTCGATTATCTCAAGGAACTATTGATTGTATGGAGAGATATAAACATTATATGATTGTACTCTTTATTGATCTTCTGAATAGATTTGTCGATTTGAAAAAAAGTCATATCTCAGAAATTTGATATTTTTAACAAAAACTGACAAAACCTCGGACAAAACCATTTGAAAGATCACTAAAAGGTAAGTACTAATAGAACGTTGAAGTAGTTTCATCATACGTTCAATAATTTTCAAGATATTCTAGAAGGACAATGATACAAAATTTGAGTTTTCCTCGAATAATTCAATGACTGAAGCTAGTATACAGGGTAGGTATGTTACAGCGAGCTTGCACTATCTTTATATCGAGAATCGGTTGGGAGAAACTCATGAATATTTGCATGCTGCTATTCAAGGATACGCCCTCTTTATTTAAAATATTGTTGACAATGCAGTATTGCCGCTTCCACTAGAAAGTAGTAGTAACATTGATATTTCAAAATAAACACCCTGTATTTTATCGCATCTTCAGATTCTTCCTAACGAGCTGATTCCATCAATATCACACTTGGGGTCTATCGAAAAGTATTACTGAGATATACCTAGGGTGTTCAAAATCGAGTTTTTTCAACTTCAGGATTTTTTTCTAAATCTAAACTGTTGATTGACTATTTACTGATATTTAATCGAAACAGACACAGGATGGTTCAAGATTGAGAATTCTAACCGAGATCCCAATGGTGATGATCGAATTTGGGACACACTGTAGGTATGTATTTCAAATATATAGCTGAATGAATGGAGTATCGCACCCATTATGTATTACATTATACAGAAATCAATATTGATGTGGATACCAATTCATAATCAATCAATTAATTTCATTATTGTTTGAAACCTTGATTAAGTTATGCAATAATTCTATCAAATGAGATCATATGGTTTTTAGATTGATCCATCAATTTTAGATTAATTACGTAATATTAGATGTTTGTAACTTCACCTATATCTTGATGGTTTTTCAGATACATAGATAATGCCAGAGGAATAATAACATTCTTCAGTATTCGGTATTATTTATATGAAAAGTTTCCTTTGATGAAATGCCGTTTCATTCACAATCAGTATCACTGCTTATTATTTCAGTAGACTTCTAGGTTATACTAGAATTAATTCACGAGATGAAGGGCGTTTCATTCGAAAATGTCTATGATGTTTTCAACGTCACCCTCTATCACTCGCGATGACGAAATTCAAATCTATCATGGCTATTGATTTTATTGATTTTCTGGTTCGAGTGATTCATCAGAATTTCTTGAACTTCTGTTTAGCAATTCTCTGGCAATTTATCAAGAATACTTTTCATTTTCAACGACATACCTAATATGTATGTTTTTCCACCACTAGCTATGAAACCTACCATTATTAGGCATAAAGTGTGTTTTTACTACCAAGGAAGTTTTCGTAATTTTATTAACCACTAGTCAATAATAGTATATTCTTCAACGAGCGTATAATAATAGCTATTATACGCGAGTAGAAGACTATACTTTCTCTACGACTATACGATAGTCAGAAATTTAATGTAATCTAATTATTATTTATGAAAATAATATACTTGATGTATGAATTTTAATGATATGATGATACAATTGACAGGAATCATCAATATTCAACGAACTCAATGATGAAACAACACAATAATTATCAGGTCAGTAAATTATGTTTCTCGTACTTAGTGAATAAATTTTTAGTGATATTCTCACAATTCGTGAAATTTTACTGTTGGTGTTGCATTTAAATCAACACTGACATTTTTATTCATATTGGTAGTTGATGTTTTTTGTGTGAAAGAACTGTTATTTGATGATGATGAACATTGTTCGATTCATTGAAGAATTCGAATCTGCCGTTTTTTTTATTCAACATGGAATCTTCTAGAAATCCTTCTGCCACCGATGTGCTCTTCCAGCCACCATGTCTTTTCAATGCTGTTATACCTCCACCTGCATTGACAAGCAAAGCAATGCCCGGTGTACATCTTGGGATTTGGTAGCTTCCAAGATGTAACTATTTGTTTTCCCATTGCTGCAAACTTATTAATTTCAATTCTCTAAAGAGTACATTTTCCTTTTTGGTAATTCATGAAAAAATTTGAAATCCCAACATTTGCTGCTCGTATATCAATGTACTTTTTACAAAATTGATAAAATTTCCCGGTTACAGTGAACCTCCTTACAATTTTTGTTTTGGTCTCAGGAATAGTTATCATCCATGGAGATCCAAGATCTTGAATATCTTCAATATTCATAGAGTACATTTTTATGGAACGGCAAGCCTCCATTATATCCTCCAGATATCAAAGTTAAAACTTAAAAGACTCTATAAGTCAATCTGACATTCGCGAAAGTCAAGCCGTGACGTGACCCGTAAAATGAAGCAGAGCCTTCTTGAGAAATTTGTTTTGTAGATTTGCTGGTTTTTCATTAGTCTAACCTTTTCAGTTGCTGTGGATCCTGAAAATTCTGAATCTGTGATTGGTCGAGTGCCGTTGAATAATGAGTTGGGATTCACGCTGTCTTGGAATCATCTTCATTCATCAATTACTAACCTATATATGTAATCAATGTACAATACCATAGTCGTAGAGAAAGACATAGCCACCTCTGTTATAATAAACTCGAATTCACTGTTCTGATGCAAAATTCTTGATTTGGTTGTTGACAAATAATAACAATTATGAATATATTGCCGACATTTTCAGCCACTAGAAACAACTGAAGATTATTGTCACTTTCTGGGACGCCACAGTAAACTAGATATTGAAAGATGAGAAAGAGTCAGCTTCGACTTTTTTTTGGATTTCAGCGATTTTAAATGAAGTATTCTACACATTTGAAATTTTGAAATTGTAATCAAAACTATAATTATCTCATAATATTTTCAAATTGAATTTGGAATCTAAGAAATCAACCGCAAACAAACTGGACTGTGAATGTTGTCCTTATAGGTGTATATTTGTCAGACAGGAAGAACGATAGACCAACGCATTCACGAACATCAAATGAGTTTTTTGAAAAACAAACTGAATTCAACATACGATAATCGAAATGAATCATAGGAAAATCGTGGTTCAAAAATAATTTCGAGTTTGCATCGTGCATTAGAAAACGAAATGTGCTGAAATTCTAATATCAACTAGACCTGAACACTTCACCGCTCTCGAATTTGTGTTTTCAGAGGGTGATATTTGCAATTATTACTTTTTTCACACCGAATCTGATTTTAGATATTGAAAATCTCTTGGAAATCTTATCGTTTGTTTTGTTTTTCATTCAATCCTACTTCATTTGTATACTGGTTAACACTGACTCATGGTATACGCCTTTTTCTCCGTTGTTTTTCTTGCTGAATTTCTGAAATTTGGATTATCGAATATGCTCGCTTGAGGGCACTTTCTCACATTTTAGGAATCTGTTTTCATCTTCTGGTTCTCCTCGAAATGACATGAACTTTCTATTTCAAAAAGTAACATCATGCATTTCATTCCATAATCGATTAGGGATTATTATAACGAATACAACAATACTATGTTTGATTGAGTTATTTCAAACGATTACGAAGATATTCGCGCTCTGAGTTTCCATAAGCTCAATGAGTGTGACCCTGCAATATCGAACCTCTTTCTCTGTCTCTAGTGTTTTAGTGAGCATATTCGATATTACAACTTTCTGAAATATAGCTAGGAAAACAAAGGAGAAAAGGGGGTGTACCATGAGTATATATGTGTCACCCAGTATGCATTATTCATTGAGTTCTACTTTCTGATTGAAATGTCAATGATTTATGCTGAACATATATAATTTTGTATTTTCATAGGGGTTTTTTATTGATGAATCTATAGATCGCTAAAAAATCAACAAAGTATGCCATTCAAGTAACTTCTTTATTTTTAGTAAAATTCCATCAACAATAACAACAAGCATACTATTACAATCACATGCATAACAGAGTAACAAGGCTCAAAAACTATTCCTGACTAGAATATCTACTCAGTGTTGCTTCTGTTGTTGGCCAGACCTCTCAACAACAGCGTTGAATCCGTTGTGTCCATCCACGTTGTATCTGACGGTCCTGATGGAACCATCGGCTTCATGAAGGGAGTACTCCCCTTGGGTCTGGTCACCATGACGGGACTCACGGTGAGAGTGAATATCGCCAGTGTTGCGGTCTTCTACCCCATATGCGAATTCGTATTGAGCAGGTCCCTGAAAAAACATGGAAAGATAAGATCACAGGCAGTACTGAAAGCAACAACAACAACAACAACAACAACAATATAGAAGCCGCGAAGCCAAACAGTCTGTTTTAATTTAATTGAGGATACTGGATAGAAGCATGTCTTCCCAGTACAAGTACCAAGAGATACTATTCCACATGCCCACAGTGTAATAGAAAATTGGTGCAGTCATTATCCTAGTCTCACTAAATGGTAGGTACTCACGTATTCTTCTTGCTCATGACTGGCCAAATGTGGGGCAACTTGTGAAATTGATGGATCTGAGTACTGAGGCACTGGAAGGCTATGTGAAGATAACACACCTTTCGGACCTGCTTCTACGTTCCTCGAAGACAAAGCAGAAAACAGGATGCCTCCTTGTGGAGCAGATTTCAGCGGAGATGCATATTGACCACTAGAGTGACCTTGACCAGAGTATACTGGCAATGGAGCGGAATATACTTGGCTCGCATGGATTGGGGCACTGTGAAGAGGAGACGATGGTACCTTGAGCTGTGGAGCTGAGTGGATATGCTGTACGGTGTTGTGGTTGTCATTGAATGAAGAGAATGATGTTGCATGTTGGTAAGATTGCTCCAAAGCGATGCTGAATGTAGCTAGACATACTACTGTGAAAATCTGAAAGGAAATTGACTATTTAGAAACAAGGCACTACCAATTGATTTTCCAAGGTGTCTCGCCCTTATAACTTTCTTATTACTGGAGACAGTTAAACGAAATTTTTGAGCTGTGGATTATTGTTCAACTCACATATTTTGACATATCTATTTGCTTTGGTGTTAGGTATTATTATAACGAATTCAATGTTGAAAAGTTTGATAGGGCTATTTCGAACAATTACGAAGATATTTGCATTCAAATTTTCCATAAGCTCAATGAGTGTGACAGAAAAAGAAGTTACGATATTGCGTTGTCACACCCATTGGTCATATGGAAAACTTCTAATCGTCTGGAGTAACTCTATCGAACCCGGTATTGTTGAATTCGTTATGATAATCCCTAACCGAATATGGAATGAAAAACAGGGTCTCCCATTCAAAAATTGAGAGTTGGGATCATCTCTGATCAAACTGAAAGTAGAGTAGAGCGAGAAGATATGTCAAATGATGTCAATCGAATATCATTTACAACCCCCTAATTTCGTCTTACTACCTTCAAAAATAACAAAGTAATAGAGGTGAGCCAACTTCAAAATCACCCGGTATTGTTAACGTGACACTAGTTCATGAACTATTTATTCTTCTGATTGAGAAAAATTCTCTGATATTGGAGAATAATTGAATAATGTAGTGATTTATAGATATATTCACTTGATAGAGGCAATGTGTGAAAATTTTGACATTTGCAAAAAATATTTGAAATATTTTCGAGATATATACCTTAGTGAACATCTTGGTTATTGCTGGTTTGTTCTTTCGATATGAGATTGAGGAATCCACGAACTGATCTGATCAAATATTGTCAATATCAGTCTTTTTATACAGTCTCTAGATTTTGGGGTTCCTCCTCTAGATAAGTTATACAATGAGTACATACTAAATCCATAATTTTTGTTACAGATATTAGTACTATTTAATTATATAATTAATTAGAGTGAACGCAGGTGATCAATCACAACCTGATTAACATTATTGGTTCACCCAAATCTGAAAATTATTTGCATATGTCAATGTTGATATGCCTGACGATTTTTATCTCGACTTTCTATTACTTATTACTAGTGAGTGTTCAGTCTCACTTCAATTTTCTGCTCAAGTAAGCAAATCATTGATATTTTTCTCATTTTCAGAGATGAACTATCAATATGAATGACACAATTATGTACAACCATTTATTGAATGATTACAATTGAATATAAAAATATAAAATGGATTTATACAATGAAGAAATAGTTTTTTTGCATTGATGCTACCAACTAATTTTAATGACCAAAAGCTACAGATGCCTGTCCAGTTTTATGGACAACAGCTCTAAAACCATGGTGTGGATCAGAAGTATATTCGACAGTACGGACAGTACCGTCAGATTCCACCAAGGAGTACTGCCCTTTGACTACGTCACCATCTCTAACTTCGTATTGGGTCTTAGCATCGCCAGTATGGGGGTCTTCTATTCCGTACTTGAACTCGTATTTTGGGGGATCCTGGAAGAAACATGGAGTTGAACAAACGAAACGAAGTCTCAATTATTCAACTGAACTCTTTTCCAAATATCAGAATTCATGAGTTGTGAATTGGGTGTAAGTGTCATTAGTATCTAAAGCTATTGTTCCACTTCAACTGCATTGAAGAAAAGTTCTCATTCGAATCAAAGTGACGAATATACTGTGTGTATGTGAGTTACCCAGGAATAGATTTCGAAATAGTATAATAATGTACAAGCTTACATTGTTTTATTTTTCAGATGAGAAGATTTCCCAATGAATCAGCAGTGAATTCATCAATTCTATACGATATTCATTAATTGTTTAGCATGGAACTCACATTGTAATTTTGGCTCTCGTCATAATCATCATGATGATATCCATTAGATGCTCCACCATGATAGCTTTGTACCCCAGTATATCCATGATCATTTCCTTTATGCTGAACATAAGAATTCGCATAAGACTGACTACCATGGTTAGAACCATGGTTGTAGCTACCGCTCCCAATATGCGAGTTACCATATCCTCCATTATGATTGTAGGAGTTAGGGTACGATTGGCCTCCTTGGTTATAAGCCTGATTGTGACCTTGATGGTAGCCTTGATTGTATCCATGGCTCAGGCCATATCTGTTGTTGCTTGGTGGATGATAGGTGGTATACGAGGTGGAGGAAACTGATTCTTGGTTGCTGTGGTAGCCAGCTTGGATAGCTGAGAATACTGTTGACAAAATGACCACCTGAAAAAAACAAACGATGTAATGTTTTTTCAGATTATCAGATATATATTGCTTTCTGTCATCTTGAGATTAATATTGATGATATTCATCAAATTCTTGGAATTCCCCAATATGTAGTTCAACATTCTTGGATCGATATGTTTATGAAATATTAGTTATTTCCTGATTCATAGATTATTATTTTCCATTGAAATTTTCATTCCTATTTGATGCATGGTTGGAATTATCATTCCTATTTGATGCATGGAAGGAGTATATGACATTTGGCAATTTGGTACTTTGAAGAATGAATACGTGATATTCATTAAATATCCATTACTCGAAAGTTGTAGATAGGAGTTATCTAAACACCAAGGTAGAAAAGAGTGTCTTGGGAGAATATCATTATTACTCAGGACCAAGATTGCCAGCCGAGAGATATAAGATCCCGTGGTAAAAATAATCTTTACAACCAAGGTGTATATCAATTCTTTCGACCACTAGCAATGTATTTCAATCATTATGGTTTTGTGAATCTGAAATATGGACCTATTGTCACTATGAAAGCACTTCTTTTCAATTCAAATTGAAATCTAGTGGCCACTACCATGACATGATATATGAAAAGTCGTTATTGATAGATACCTTCCTGATTCGAGTGCCATATCTGCTATGCATATCTCGCATCAGAACAGTGCATTCGAGTTAATTATAGCAGAGGTGGCTATGTCTTTATTGACTATATACAGGGTATGTCACTACGAGCTCACACTATCTCTATATCGAGAATCACTCAGAAGAAATCCATGGAAATATGCATGCCTATATTTTAGGATACGCTCTCTTCATTCTGAATATTTTCAACAATGCAGTGTTGCCGCTTCTATCAAAACGTAGCAACAACTTTGTTATTCCAAATAGAGATATAGGGTGTTCAAAATTGAGATTTTTCAACTTTTAGGATTTGTTTGTGTCGGAACTATTAATTATCGGCCAAAAAGGCTCACATGTCCCTATCTCAACTCTTGATTTACTATTTACTGATATTTAATCGGAACAGATACAAGGTGATCAGAATTCTGAATCATGAACCATGAATATTTCACAACTATATCGAACTATTCGATTTATGGAAACTGTTGAGGAGGATCAGCCTCCGTTGCCTCCTCTGAGAAGTCGCCACTGTTGGACATATGATCAGGTAGGTATAAATGTCAAAATCAAACTTCCGATTTCACTGAACAATAATAAAAAACATAGTGACATCAACATCAACATATTCAGGAAGTCCTTAGTGTGACAAACGTGACAAAATATAGTATCACAAATTTTTTGGAACGGAAATGATCGCACTTCAACAAAACTCATAACGCACCTTCGCAAACATTTTCACGATGAAGAGGAAATATTGAAAAATAACTCTGAAGACAGATTCTTTTATACTACAATGAAGTCATGTAAGAAGATTTCCATTGTCCATTCTAATGCAACTCATTCCAGTGTCGGGCTCGTAAAATTTCATCGAGCGTACTCTGAAATATATCTGAATAGAACACGATTTTAGTGGAATATGTGGAGTTAGTATAGCGTTACTTCAAAGTTGGGAACCAACTTCTCGAAGGCAAAAATTTTGCTCGCTTGAGGAGAGCGGAACTTAGATCTTTAATTTCAATGAAACACTATACTAGCCCAGTTAACACAGATTGATCCCATAGATATCACATTCATGTCACATATCATACCTACCGTGTATAATACACTCATTTTTCACCCCACCATTCGCGATTTCATTCATTCATCCAAGTTTGTCGTTTAGGATTGTCGGCGTATACATTTCAATAACTTAAGAATGAGGAAACAAAAGCACCTTTTTCAACAACGAAGACACCTCCATGTTATCCTCACCACCGCCTATTTCAGCTGAACCTAGCTCAGCGCTCAGCAGCATCCGGTTGCTGAGATGGTCTCGCTCCACCATGGCGACTGAAAGCTTCTGCTTGGCCTGGCACAACTGAGCTTGGAAAGTTGAAACTGAGACTCTTTGGAGCTCCAGTTGGTCCCGCAGAGGTGTCACGCTTGATACGTAGTCGGACACTTCGCGTTCGTGCGCTTCTTGAAGCGCCGTCAACTGTCAAAAAAGAACAACGAAAAGGGCATGTTTTACGATGTTTCGCTACTAGCAGTAACAGCATGTTTGATGAAGTGAATGCGAATTGAAACAGCTTCTATTACAACAACAACAACAACAAAATAAAAGGCCATCGACCGAGGTCCTTCAGCCACAGAAGTTATTTATATAAACATATAACGGTTATTGTTACATAAAAATGACATAGTTTCCTAAAAAAAATCATATAACTGGTCTCTACCGTGGTGGAAACGTCTACTAGGAGAAACATCGCACTATAGTCTCTGCCATAAAGTGTGCTCCGCTTGTTTGTATTGTGTTCTTCCTCGAATTATCCCACTGAAATCATAGTGACGGTTATCATCCTTTTTGGCCATTTTATGATTCACATTGTATGTAACATCGTGATGGCGAATGAAACTTGGAGTGAGCATTAAGCGACCAATCATTCAACAGCAAAATTGATTTTTTGTTGAATTGTCACACAGGAATGCGTCACATCTGAAATTATCTTCGTCAGAAACAAGCGAATGTTTTGAGACATATGTGCTGCGTTCATAATGTTCATATACAGAATATTTTAGAAATTGAGGATATAAATATGGAATGACTAATAGATAACAAGCCATGAAACGAAATAAGGCAATGCATTTTCGTCAAAAATACTCAAAAACCATTTTTTATATGATATATTGAGCTTGACTGAAACTTCTGTGGATCGTTGGTTAGACTCAAGCGCCTGCTTTCGGCATGGTCAGAAGCGCCGGAAGTACAATGATTTTTGCAATGTTGCTTGACGTTTAATGATAATTAAGTGATTTGATATGGTGGGGCACACAGTTTTTTTTGTTCACTGGTCTCAAACGACATTCAATTTTAGTTATTGCCCCAATTTAGAAATCGGACGTTTATCGTTCAATTTCAACTTTCACTATGAGAACATTTTTGATATTATAGTACCTTCCATTTGATCCACTATTTTTGTAGAATCAAATTGGCAAAAATTTTGTTTGTAGAGCATGAATTCCCCCATTCCATCACGAAGATATAACAGACCAATAATTCAGCTCCCAAAAAAAAAATTCACTATGAAATGTAAGATATTTACATATAGATTCTCATTATTCCTCCTCATTGCGCCTCTGCTTCGAAGAATGACTCTGGGTGGTGAGAAGAACATCAGCTATTATGTCACATCTGTTTTAGAATGATGAGAATAATTTAATTAGCGATACTTTTGTGGTAATTGTTTCGAATTTTGATGAAATACTAGGCTTTAATATGTGGGAACTAGACTGTCTTCAATTCATAGTTTGGCATCTGCATTCGTAACTTAGTTGATAGGTACAGGGTGTCTCCTTATATTTTGACTCCTACCTACAGCTTCAACTATGCTACGTGGAAAAGAACTTCAAATATGAAAGTAGTGGGATGTCATTCTGTACCATCTCTTGAAAATCCTTGAACAAACAAATACCAATCGCAAAATGGGGAAAAAAGTCCCAAATCAGTTTCATTAAATGAATCACCTTGTATATTTTCAACTCTAGTGAAATGTCTTCTTCTGTTCACAAATATATAGTTCTTTCAGCCGTTTTCGACGAAATTCTTGCTCCACTACTTGAATTTTGTGACAATAAAATCTTACTATCTCGTATATTATCTCTACGGAATAACCCATTTTCATTGAAATACTGTCAGAGGTGTCAAAAACTGCCTGTTTTGTTTCCATGGAATTTCTGTTGTGTCCACAGCCATCTAAATGTTAATGGCAACTTTGATTCAATGCTAAGTATGTTTAAAATGGCTTGAAGAAACATGAGCAAACTATATGAATTTGTGAACAGGAGAAACGAATCTTCCACTATAGTTGAAATATGCAGGATGTTCCATTAAAAAAAAAATCGATTTGGACTTTTTTTCTATATTTTACAGTTCGTATTCGTTCATTTGAGGTATGCCAAGAGATAGTACAGATGAAACCGTACGACTTTTATATTTGAAGTATTTTCCACATTGTATAGTTGAAACTGTAGGTAGCCGTCAAAATATACGGAGACACTCTGTACCTATATTCATTTATAGCAGTATATAATATCAGCAGGTGATCCAATCACTGTGGAATCGGTGGCTTGAGTTGATCAGAAAAATTCTTTTGCTGTGTTCCAAGCCATTCTAATTCCCTTATATAATTGTCAACTGCGTTTCTCCTCAAAACTAGAGGACAACCCAAATTCTCATCACATCAGGTGTTTTTCATTAAGAACTACAAACATAGTTTTAACAATATTGTTATTAAGGATCACAACCAATTTGGTGTCCCAGTGCAGAAAGACCTTGAAAAACCTGGCCAATTCAAGAAAAGTCAGCCTCATGTGGGTCCCGGGATACTCGGGGATACCCGGAAATGAGGTGGCAGACAGACTGTCAAGATCGGTTCAGGACGGACCCCGCGGTCAGACCGGAACCAATCTTATGACTACCAAACAGTCTGGCAATGTCCTCCATAGAGGAACAGCTGCAAAAGCAATTCCTCAAAATATAGCAGGACACACTAGGAATGAGTCAATCGAAGCTCCACATAGAGGAACCTTCGAAGAGACTCACAGAAGAGGTTTTATCCCTCAAGCACTGATACATCAGAGGAGGGCTGTCCTTGGCAACATAATTTTGAGGCCAGAGGACGTGGAAGAGATCCAGCTAAGGAAGCTGCTGAACTTCTCCAAGGAAGTCGGCATACCCAGCCGAATGTCGAAATTTGTGGGCGCACAATGGGCCCGAATAAGGAGAAGAAGAAGAAGAAGATTTCTGGAGATATTTATGGAAGAAACATTGAAATAAAATTTCATAGGATTATTTTCTTATTCTGATAAATGCTATAACTTACCTATATGAATGGCAGTGGAAGTGAAACATCTTTGTATACAAGGTGTCAAATTCTATACGCAATTATAGGTATATAGGGAGTATAGTACATTCTTGTATTATGTAATTGAATTCATTTTAGTCAATTAGGTTCAATTTGAAATCAGTTACAATAATAATTGGAATATCATACGCATACTTCTTTCTACATATCAATAGAGCCAATTCAATGATTTTATAGATTTTCATAATTCTAGGAAGAAGCAGAACGGTCCAAATATACATATACCAGCTCAAATGATAATTTGAAATTATTTCATTACACCCAATCTCTATGTGTCTTGACATGGACTAGTGAATTGTATTTTATGCCAAATATTGTGCTCACTGAAGCAAATAAGGATCGTTTCAAGGATCAATTGCTCATTACAAACCGATTTTTGATACATTCCATATCATGAACTTGGACAAATGTTTCTGATTAATCACATATGAATTTCAAACCTTTAACTTTCTCTCAATTAAATTTCCATATGATAGGATAATGTATGATTTTGGTCTGAAATACACATTGCTTGGTAGGTGAATGTCAGATGACGAAATATATATTCTAGTTCTACAGAAAGAAAATAAAAAATTTGAATTATATAGATTTCAGGAACTAACTTACTGAACAGGTAACTCATTTCCTTTTCATATAATTATGTTATTTTCATAACTTGTTCTCGATAAATGATCTTGCAATAACTTTGAACTTGCTAAGGCAGTTCTTCTTGATCTAGACAAAGTCAAGGTCAGTCAAACAAAACGTATTTGAACTGTTTCTGTTAGAATACCGTGTCAAAATCGGATCAAATCGATTTCGTTCACGACTATTCATCCATTCAAGCAAAATATTTTCAATATAGATTCTCTGAGTCGTCAAATGTGTGAACACTACGAATAAAATTGAAAACATGATGATTTTTCAGATAATGAAGACAAAACTTCTGAGTTCGGAAGGGGTATAAGAAGTGATTTGTCGATCAAATGTTGGTCTGACAACTAGAATGTTTAACCACCGTATCCACGAACATTCAATGAGTTTTTGTTATGATTGCAAACAAGAGAAAACAAACTGGAGTATTAACCTACATTTGGCAAGCAATATGGAGGATATAATACTTCAAGGGTAGCTAGAATCAACCCCAACATGTTTTTTCAAATGCAACCCTATGACTTGCCACCCCTCATTGGGAAGCTGGTTGAAAGAGAAATCCAGCGTACTGATCATATTTCAGTTTGCAGTACGTTTGGAGGTCGCATTAAAAATCAAATTTCGAAGTTTAATATATTTTCAACGTATTTTCATCGAAATTTCGACTTTAAGTGACAGTGACATAGGGCAATTCCACCTGTTTGCAATAACACAAAAACTAGATTTCTTTTTGAGGCTCTTCAAAAACACTGGAATACAATAGAGGATAGCAGTTGTGGCAAAAAATTGCCTTCAATTATTAAACACATCTTCCAGACAAATTCCAGACAAAGTCTCCACACTGTATATGTTCCTGTGTTAATTTTCATTTCGACTTAAAACAATATTTCTATTTCTTTCATCTATATATGTACATGTACCAATCAATTCTCCACTTCGATTTATTCACAGAGGAATATGTTGAGGGGGGTGAAAAATAATGGCTGTTTACAAATTAGCTTATATGCCTTGAAAACGGAGCAATTATTAGAAAAAAAAACTTATAGGAATGACGTCAAGAAATCAAATTTTCACTCCAATTAATTCTTCACCTTGTTTTTCCCACAGAAACATAGCTCAAGATGATTGAAAACTTCAGAAGATTTTGTTTTCAAATTCAAATTGTGTGTGTTCAATGAATGTAATTCAATGTTCGTCGTGGCATATAGACAGGAAAGTAGGTAGTCGTTTCCTGTCCATAATATATCTGAGAGATTATTTTCTTCGTATGATCTTGAAACAATCAGAGGACGCTCAATTGAGATAAGATATCTTGTATAATTCCGAATATACGTGGATATACATAGATTTGTACCACCAATCAGATATTTAGAATTATTTCCATTCTCATATTGTTACATACAAACAAAGCGTATCGTAAAATTTCGACGTTCGTTCAGAGCTACTGAAAACATAATCGCATCGAATACAATTGAAACTTCAAAATCTTCAAGCCAATACGTCTCAAAGTTCCTGCCCAATTACAAATCGTGTCAGTTTAACAGCTGAAATAATCCGACCGCGAAATGGCCGTTGAAGAGTTGTATCATTCATATCATACAGAGATATGGAACACCCTGTATATATCGAGGAACCTTCTCTGTAAGCGAAACATATCGTATTTTTGTGAATTTCGTGGAAGATATTCTCTAGAGGATGAATAACAAATTATTTTGTTGATTTCATCAATTATTTTTCTTGCTTCTTTATATAGATTCTTGCATGTGAATGTACATTTTTGATTCTGAACAATCACTCAGACTCAAATATTCAATGTTACGCGGTCTATGTCACGCACTGTTTATTTATCTAGGTCAATTTTAGTGAATTGAATTGTTATATGTATTACGAGATAACATATTGTTCTCATTTCCCATGTCTTTCAATATTTTGGCAATACGCCCTGCTAAGTATAAAAGCTGTACTTCACCAAGAAGAAGTCAGTCTAGTAGTTGCATCAATACTGTAAACAATCATGTACTCAAAGGTACGATAAAATTCCAATTCAATTACTCAGGTCACTCCCAATATAATAGAGAATAATTACATACTCTCTATCTCTATTAATTCATTGCAAGGAAGTGAGAATCAAATTTGTTTTTCCTTTACAGGTATTATCTGTGTTGGCTCTCGCCACCTTTGCCCAAGCTGGCCTCTTGAACGTTGTACCACAACATGCACCATCCTATGTAGCATCTCCAGTGCTATCCCATGGATATGCAGGTCCTCATGGTCATGCTGCCCAACACGAAGACTACTACGTAAGTGGATAGAAGAGAGGAATTCAATCATGAATCTTTCAAACAATCCAATATTTTCTCTTCTATAGGCTCACCCCAAATACGAATTCAACTACGGAGTCCAAGATGCCCACACCGGTGACCAGAAATCCCAACACGAACAACGCGATGGTGACGTAGTCAAGGGCTTCTACACCGTAGCTGAACCCGATGGTACCCTCCGTACAGTCCACTACACCGCTGATGACCACAACGGATTCAACGCAGTCGTGGAGAAGCAAGGCACTCCGGTTTACCCAGCTCCAGCTGTACACTCTGCCCCAGCTTACAAAGTACATGCTGCTCCAGCCTACAATGTACATGCTGCTCCAGCCTACAATGTACATGCTGCCCCAGCTTACAACGTACACTCTGCGCCTGCTTACAACGTACACGCTGCCCCAGTACATGCTGCCCCGGCTTACTACCATCATTAGATTTTTCGGGAGAAATATTAGGATTTTTGTAATTTATTAATTATTGTTGAATAAAGATGATGCTGTGAACACATTTTGTTTTTAATATACCGTGTATAAATTACCATTACACTAATTGAATCTACTACTACTACCGCTGAACTTGAGAACTGAACATACAACAATTGACTCATACAAATTTTCAGGCAGAATGTTTAGCCTTTCCGTAGAAGAACAACATCTATACCTCTGTTAGATACATATTTACTCACTCCTCTATCATATTATTTCATCAGTAGTTCTCGTTATCCTTAATTCCATGAGAACTTTTTATCGAAATGATTGAAAATATCATCAAAAAATCCATTTTGACCTTTGACTGATGATAACGCTTCATGTGGTCGTGAAAGAAGTTTCGTTTGAACCATAGTCATCAACTCTGGCATTCCACAAGAATCCTTTTGGTATCAACATTGTTTCAGCCCCATATCAATGATCTGTGAGTAATCGCCTGTACAATTCAATACTGAGTTTTCTTTCAATATTCCAATATCCTATGCAGCCATAAAATCAAGGTGAGTCAATGAAGATCTTGCTGAAATATCAGCGTTGGAAACTGACAATATTTCCACTGAAAAGGCCGAACTTAGTGAATCCTTTACCAGATCTATCGTGTGAATAATAATGTTAGTATTTCATTTCATATGAAAACATATTTATGGTACATCGTTACGGAGTTATTGACCTTGGAAGTTTCTGCAAGCCCATACATGAGGCACACTCATCATAACTTAACACATCCAGAGTATTTAATTCTTTCAAAACACAATACCATAATGTTGTTATTGAATGAATAGAGTGTGTATGCACTTCAGGGATTTGAAGGGTACTTCAAATCGCTATTTTCAGGGCTTCAATAATTGCGATATTCTGTAAAACGGTACAAGATAACGATTGAGAATAAGTATACTATTGTAGTAGAAAAAAAAGGAGGAATCAGAAGGTGAAAGTGGAATGTCAAATTCGGCAAAAACGGAAAAAATCGTCCCATCCTGTAAAAAACATTATCACTGAACAACCATTTACATATCGAAAGAGCATTCGTATGAGTTGATCTAGTTGCCGAAATATCATTGATACCATGGCATTTAAAAGTTTTGCATGTGATATATATTTGCTATTCAAACTTTCGAAATAACTCCGTAACGAAGTGCGATAGAATTTTTTATTTTGGCTTACTCTTACAGCCCTATCATTTACAACATGAACTTTCCGGACACCTTGTACATATAATCGTCTGTCGAATACATAACGCAACAGACCCTGAATCTGATATATCAAAGGATATACGTATATGGTATATGTAATTTTTTTTATGTTCTTGCTCCCGCGAAAGAGGGTATCCTGTAATGTTCAGAGAACATCGGGATTGCTGTTCTTCTTAAACTGGAGATTATATGCCTCGGGAAACACCTTCCTTGGCAATGTGTTCCAGAGCCTCGCTGTTCGTTGGATGAACAAGTCTTTGAAAAGAGATGTTCTGCAGGTCTCCAAAGTGACCACGAAGGGGAGAGAGGAACAATTGTTGATATTTCAGAAGAGCATCCTCCGTGATAATATCTATAAAATATAGCGAGATCGTCAACTATTCTACGGTGTGGAAACAATTTTTTTCAAGCAACTTCAGGAAGAGTGGAATCAAGATTTTCTGGATGTTAACTGGAAATTATATACTGAAAGGCTAGTTTCTTTGCGCACCGAAATGAAATTTTGTGGGAATCTCACAAAACTGAGTAGCTTTTGAGTGGGTATATCATTTTAGATGAAAATTTCAATGGAACTCCGGTAAATGTAAGTTCAATGCCCAATATCCTTCTAAGGAAGTTGTATCACGATATGTTTATTACTCAAAATTGAGTATCTATACACCCTTGTTCATACAAATATTGCAAAAAAGCAAGCAGCGATTTATTATCGAAAGTTGACAAGATCAATTATATATATATTATTTTTATACTGATGGAGACGAAAATTATAATCGAATACATTTGATAGATATGAATAATAACAATATTTATAGATAACGTTCACTCAGCTACATTTATTCAGAATGAAAAATTGCAACTCAGACAAAAATTTCACCATCCAAATTTCACCAGCTCTGGTATACTGAACTATCTTTATTTGTTGTTAGATAATTGTTCTTTTTGTTAATCAAAAATACTATAGGTATATACATATATTGGCAATGCCATAACACGAAAAACATTATATGACTTCAAATTTGCATCAAATTGAAAAATATGCTTGGTTTTGATTCTTATTAACGTCATCAACGATAATTTGAGGAAGGCAATAATCACTCTGGAATTTCGGTGGTTGTTGGAAATTGATGACTAACTGATTGTTCATGTATTTCAAAAAAATATCCATGTCACAAATTGGGGCTATTGCTACCAAATGAAATTTACCATCTAAAGATCCCTAAGCAAATAACCTTGATCATTGAGATAATAATTATTTATCTAGGTCGATTTTGGTGCATTTTAAATGAATTCTTTCACATTATTACGTAGCACTCTCGCGTTCCTCAATACTGAATTAATATTTTGGCAATCCATTCTGATTCGTATATAAATGAAACTTCAGAAAGTCAAAGTCAGTGTACTATCTGAACTCTCAGGAAATACAATCATGTACTCAAAGGTATGCAACACAATATTATACATTATCATCAATTATATGCATAATGTTGTTATAAACAATACAGTGGTCGAATATCTGCCACATATCTATTTCATATTGATCGTTCCATGTTTTAATAGTATATTTGATATTTATTATTCAAATGATAATAAGTACTTTTAACCAATCATAAGAATAATCACATCTCCAAAACAGTAGCTCTCGATGACGTGATATATAGTCAAGAACTAACGAAAATGAATTGAAATTCCACAAAAAATAGGATTCCACTTTCATACAGTAATAATAATAATATAATAATAATATACGGGTGATCCACGGTGGATGGCCTATTAGAAGTACATATCTGGAGAACGAAAAAACAGTACAAGTTGAAAATTGGGATGCTTTGATAATTGAACATTCTCTATCCGTCTAAAGTATTTTCATCGATACAGTGTTGCCACTTCTATCAGAAACAACTAGCAACTTTGTTATTTCAAATGGAACACCATGTATTTTATTGCATTTTCAGATTCCTCCTGGAGAGCTGATTGCATCAATGCTTCACTATCTACGGGAATTCAATTGGAAAAAATACAGGGTGCTTCAAGATTCAGAGTTCTGATCACCCTGTATCTGTTCCAATTAAATGTCAGTAGATAGTGAATCAAGAGTTAAGATAGGGACATGTGAGCCGTTTTGATCGATAATGAATAGTTTCGACACAAAAAAATCCTAAAATTGAATAATCTCGATTTTGAACACCCTATATTTCTGTAATAATTCGTGCTAGACCCCACGTGTGATACATTGATGGAATCAGCTCTTCAGGAAAGAGCTACAATGGCAATAAAATACAGGGTGCTCCATTTGAAATAACAAAGTTGCTATTTGTTTCTGATAGAAGTGGCAACACTTTATCGATGAAAATATTTCAGACATATAGAGAATGTTCAATTATCAGAGCATCCCAATTTTCAGAATGTTCTGTCTTTTCGTTCTCCAGATACTTCTAATAGGCCATCCACCGTGGATCACCCTGTATATATTAATTGTTTAGTCATATATATAATTCATGAACAAGAGCGGTGGCATGGGGATGAGTGTTCATATTTATGTAATATAGAGAGAGAAAAAATGAAATAGATCAAAATGGATCAGAAGTTAATCATAGTATCATGTACTTACCGATCTAGTTGCTATGTTTTCGAGAAAATATGGGACACCCATCATCAACGGTTGAATGATCACATCCATTTCACATCAGTATTAATCCAATATTACTCCTATTCATTTATTATGTCGTGAATTGATACAGTTTGGTGAGAACGGTAAAATCTGTTGATGATAGTATCGAGTCTAAGTCGTCTAAATGTCCTCTAGGATTGATCATGTTGTTTCTTAGATTTGCAGTATGTTTTCGAGAGTTTCTGGTTGAACAGATGGTATTCGTTTCTATTTTGTATGCATTGTTATCAACATATATAAATAATTTCTCAGTGTTGGCTATTCGGAGCTGAGCTACATTTCTCCTAATATGTAGTGGGCCTGCTAAGGATAAGTAATTATTATTATCAAATTCATTCTGTACAGTACCAGTGTTGTACAGATATACACACAATACATCGTATCGTATATGAGTGAGCTAGTTTGGGATAGAACTCCAATAATAGTTCGAGATAATACTTGGATACAATTTTGCACTGAGAGAGACCAATTGATGTTCAACTCAATGTGGATGGAGAATTATTGAAAGAATCTAAGCCTTCACCATATTTGATAGTTCAGTACTTTCATGGTACCTAAATTTTTTAAGTTTATATGAAATCGTTGAATCAATGTATTTTCTAGGTTTTATCCGTTCTGGCTGTAGCTGCTTTTGCTCATGGTGGTCTTTTGGACCTTGGATCCCATCATGGCCAAGTAGCAGCTCCCGTTCTATCCCATGGATATTCAGCCCCGCTCTCCCACGCTCCCCAAAACGAAGACTATTACGTAAGTGGCAGGTCATATTGAATTTCGTTGTATTGTCAAGAAGTATAAATGCCTATGAATTAACATCACTCAAACTCTCGTTTATTTCAAGATCTATTATTATTAAATTAAGTCTTCCAAATTGAAACACCCAGTACAGTGTAGTTTCGATCAGGTCAGCGGTGTTCATAGACGTAAGTTCCTCTAGAATTTTCAAAAACCGCTTTCCGTACGATAATACCTAGGTGATCAATATTTGAAGGTGATGGCCAATCCCATTGCGGAAAATTGCGAATCTAGCATCGGTAGAACGGTAAGCGGTTTTTGCAAACTCTAGAGGAACTGACGTCTATGAACTCCGATGACTTGATCGAAACTACACTGTACTGGATGTTTCAATTTGGAAAAGTTAATTTATGATGAAAGATCTTGAATTGAACGAGACTTTGTGTGATGTTAATTCATAGGCATTTATAGTTCTTAACAGTATGGTAGAGGCAATTGTAGGATATGGATATAATCTTTATGATCCTATAGGCACACCCCAAATACGAATTCAACTACGGAGTCCAAGATGCCCACACTGGTGACCAGAAATCCCAACACGAACAGCGCGATGGTGACGTAGTCAAGGGCTTCTACACCGTAGCTGAACCCGATGGTACCCTCCGTACAGTCCACTACACCGCTGATGACCACAACGGGTTCAACGCAGTCGTGGAGAAGCAAGGAACTCCGGTCTACCCAGCTCCAGCTGCACACTCTGCCCCAGCTTACAAAGTACATGCTGCTCCAGCTTACAATGTACACGCTGCTCCTGCTTACAATGTTCATGCTGCCCCAGCTGTTCATTCTGCCCCAGCTTACTACCACCATTAACTCCTGTGGAGTGAATGAGGAGGAAATCCAAATATTATTTATTTTGTTATGATTATGAATATTGAATATAACTGCCATAAAGTTACTTGTGGTTTGATTCTTTCGAAATATAGCAATCTTCTTGTCATGTTTGATGATGATTGGCCCAGGCCCAGTCAGCACATACCTTCGTCGTTAACTTTGAAAAATGTCGAACAACACTCTACCCAAACTCGTTTGTCTATAGAACGGAGAAGCTTTGGAATTCTTTGCCAATGGAAGTATTCCCAAATACTAATGACCTTTCTTGGAGAGGGACAGCTCTTGGGTTTTGGATTCAGTAATTGATTATGTTTTTATTGTATCATGTGAAACGTTCCGCATATGGCTTTTTCAATCTTAATTTTTCATTTTATCATGAAAATTGATGGTACTCGAAAAAATAGAGTAGATAGAGTCTGATGTTGTGTGCATTTCATAGTTTTTGTAGGACTATCAGTATGCAGAAATTGTTAGGTACGTACACTCGTCTTCAGTGAACATGTCGCGGTTGGACGGTATGAGCGCTCTTACTGCAGCGGTGATTAAGAGAGCTGACACCGTCCATAGGCGACATGTTCTCTGAATTGGTAGTATTTTTTGTTTAAAATTTTCCTTTTTGTTCATAATTAATAACTTGTTTTCTTTCGTTATCTCCAATATTCCTGTAATTTGTGTATTTTTTGTTTGGATGTGTGATATTCAATTTCTGGATGTGACATGTGACATAGGACTATAGAAACATTGTATTTTTCAATATTGGTGGCAGTGGTAGATTCTTTTCAATATAGGAGATAACAAAAGAAAACAAGTAATTGATTATAAACAAAAAGGACAAATACAAACAAAAAATTCGACCAAAGAAATAGCTCTGATTGTGGTATACGTATACCTAACAATTTCTGCAAACTGATAGTCAACAACTACAAAAACTATTGAATACACACAGCATGAGATTTTATCTATTCCATTTTTTTTCAGTACCAGTACATTTTATGTAACAAATAGAAAATTAAGATTGAAAAAGCCTATGGGCCATAGGTGAAACGTATCACATGATACAAAAAGAACATGATTATTTACTGAATCCAAAAGCCAAGAACAGTCCCTCCCCAAAAAACATAGAAGGATTCATCATCGGAAAAAAGTACTCATAACCTACAAAAGTAAGAAAAAATTCCAACACGAGATGTTCCACGAACATTATAGGAATTCCCATTCGTGCGCTCCAAGAGATGAAAAAAAAAATCACATGCAATCTCAGAGTATATGTTTCATCCTCGAGTATAGAATATCCAAATATGTTATGTATGTGTGAGAATGGAAATTAATTGAAATCCCAAAATACTCACTACCTAATTAATACCTTACAACTTAATACTATAATTTTATCAGTACCTTGAAGGTCGTGTGATTATATTCAGAACTATGAGAAGTCTAGTAATATCAAATTTGATCCTGAGAACCGAATAGTTCCAATCGAAAATGCAAATGATGCCCAATCATTTCATCATAATATGATTTCGTGGAAATGATCCTAAGAATAGTAAAACAGAACAGGAGTCTAGGACAATCATTAGTTTTAGTTCTCGATGAACGGTATAGGTTCTGAAATACTGAAGTATCACTACTGCATTAAATATTGCTCTTTAAATTATTATCTGTCGATGGCATTGATTACTGACACACCCGGTATATCAGCTCCTGATATTCAGACACAGGTATGAGGTATGAGGTATGAGGTAGTATGAGGTATTTTGTTAGTATTTTGTATTGGGGTATCTCAGCAATATACAGGGTGTCCCAAAATTGCGGGGACACAGAGCTACCACGTATAATATAGTTAAAAATGAGTTGATTGGAAACACCTTATTTACATGGAAGAAGGATCGTTTGTCCGTGAGACGAGTTCAAAATTTGCATAAAAAATAGTCATTTATTATACTTATAAGGGAAAAAATTAGTAGATTTTAGCTTCAGGTTTTTCGTCTCTTGACGCGTAGCGGAGTGAGGCAATATTTATGAAATTTTTGTACGTATAAGATAAGAATGAGAATCAATCGTGAGCTATTTTTTGAATTGAAAATTCAAGATGGCGGATCCAACATGGCAGATGAGTATTGAAATGACGATCCGATTCCACTTAAAATTGGTATGTCGGAGTTTTCGGGGTCGGAGATAATGATTCTTCCATCAGAATTTGGAAATGTATGATGGTGGATCCATTATGGCGTACAAACTTTGTAATTATGACTCGATACTCTTCGAAATTGGTATCTTGAGGTTTCAGGTGTCGGAGATTCTGATTCCTTTGTCAAAATCAGGATATTCATGATGGCGGATCCAATATGGCGGACGAGATTTGAAACTATGATCCAATTTCATTCCAAACTGTTATATGGGGATATTTGGGGTCGAAGAATATTGAAATTTCGTCGAAGTTTGGGAATTCCAGATTGCGTATCCAATATATGGCTGAAGATATTTGTGATTATGATCCGATTCTATTGAGAACTGATATCTGGGGGTTTTTGGGGTCGGCGATTATAATTTTTTCGACAAAATTGAGTATTTCTTGATGGCGGATTCAATACGGAGAACGAGTTTAGTAATTATGATACGATTCCATTCAAAATTTGTATCTGGAGGTTTTTGAGGTCAGAGATTATCATTATTTCATCAAAATTTCAAAATTCAATATGGCGGACACAATATGGCGAACGAATGTTCTGATTAAGATCCGATTCTATTCAAAATTACTATCTGAAGCTTTTCGGTGTAGGAGATTATGTTTTTTTTTACGAACAGTAGTTTGAAAAACTATTGGAACACGCTTTCATAGATAGCCAAAGTCAAAACAAGTGGAAAATAAATAGTATTTTGAAAAACTGAAGAGATAGATTGTCAAACTAAAAAGAAGTATAGAAAATGGGTACTATGAATGACTCAAGAAACACGTTTCCATGGATATTCAAACTTGAGGGAAGTAGAAGATCAAATAGTAAAAGAACGTTGATAATCATTTGACTGAGAAGCTTTTTTTTCAAAAAATGATGTACAAGGTGTTTTTGAAATGAGTGCACATATTCAGCACAATAATATGATACAGTCTAAGGAATATTCCCATGATATCAGATTTTTTCTTATTCTTCCAATTAACGAGAAATTTCATCCCAAAAATTGAACAAAATACGAGAAGAAGATCAAGTACGCCACATTAAAACAATTCAAATGATTGAACTCTGCGTGATTGTGCCTACCGCATGGAAATTTGAACAGAGGTGACGACAGATTTGCTACAGTGTAGAACTTTGGGTGGAAGAAATGGTCTAAACTAAAATTTTATTTTGATCCCTGCTAGTGTATTGATTATGATTGATTGAACGATAGTTGAATCAATGAAATTTTCCTCACCACAACAATATATTTGAATGAAATGAAACTTTGTAAATGTCAGGAAATATTTACAAAAAAATATTCTGTCCTTCTGATTACGTTGCACATCAGAAATGAATAGGTATGCATTTTGTTAATTTCGCGAAGATGTATTCAATTCAATGAAAATAAAAAAGTTTGTGTCGATAGTAGTCATTATAATACCCAGTAACATCATTTAACCTGATTGTGGGAGATTCTGTGTTTATTTGTTAATCTTTTATATATGACATCTATTATCATCCTCTCTTCTCGTCCATATAACGCTAGAATTTGACAGAATATAACAGAAACCCAATACTTTCCTCGCAGATACCACAAAATACTGAATTAAAAATATCGAAAAACTAATATTTTTTTCTAATTTTCATTTATTCATATCATACCTAAGTTCTAGGTATTCACAGAATCTGATAGATTTAATTCGATATTATCCCGGAGAGTATATTCTGTTTTCTCTTAGATATTTCATCAATGATTTTCTTGATTCGAAAAACATTTTTGGTACGAAATTTGTTGGTACAACTAATCTTTTGTTCCGTGTGGTGTGAATGTAAACTTCGTGTATGAGGGTCATATCCTTCAGATTCTTTCATCGATTACGATAATATAGTCCAAGGAAGCCTTAGGGCTCATGAATCACAAAATACGTGGTTATTGTTTCTTCGTCTTTGACTTAACACTCACTTTACATACATCATTTACCGAATCTCATGATTGGATCTAGGTCACATTCTTTTATTTCATAATAAGGACAATTCGACTATTTTCGTATGCTTACCTATATCATGAGATTGGTCATAGGTTTGGTAATGGAGGTATATTCATATATAAGACGATATCGACATTAACAAATCAGTTTCAATTTCATTTTGGAATAATCAAGAACCAAAAAATGTTCTCAAAGGTATGTACAATTCAAACAATAAATAATTATTCATTACCCCCATTAGAAAAAAGATATTGCCATTATGGTAAAAATCGTTATTGGAGTTGCAAGTCGTACCGAAAAAATTGAAAATTTCTGGTTCTTATTTCATGATTTGAATAGAGAATGTCTTCCTATTGTTGAATTAAAAAAATTCTTTCATGGTGTTCAAGATATTCAAGTTATACTTTCCTGAATGATTTCCATCCCTCAAAATAATTACATAATTTTCCATTCGAACTTGTTTCAGAAAACAACATTTCGCTATTTTCATCTCACGGTTTTTCAAGAAAATGTAAGAACAATGCAATCAAATATTTGATTGAATATTTGTATCAATTGAACAGTTCTAGACCGATTATTTCACTCGACTCATTCAAGGAATGGAATTCATACAAGGTGATTGAGAATTATATGGAGATATTTTGAGGAAATTTTGTCGGGATCAAAACGAGGATATTTCCAAAAAAAAAAAGAGTGTCTCGACATTCATCCCCTCCGAGCTACAACCACTGTGTGGATACTTTATCCAAATTCCTCCGAAACATTTTTGCGGCAAAAAAGAAATAAAATGCCTAGAATCGATCAAATCTCCTGAAAATAGGCATTTCCCTGTATGCCTATTTTCAGGAGATTCGATTCGTTATTATAGTCTCAATGTATTTTAAGTAACCCACAGTGGTTGTATCTCTGGAGGGTGCATTCAAGAAAATATGCTAATTCGATAAACCGTCTTATTTCCATTCCAACAATACGTTCTCCAAGTACCTACATCGAATTTAAAATTACCCTGTATGTTCGATCTATCTCTCATAATGACAAAATTTGGACTCTTAAGAAATTAAATGTTAGAAACTCCTCAAGTACCTAAGAACTCGAATATTCTCCTCTCATTACTATACTTTCAGTTGCATTAGTTTACTAATAAATAATTGACCATGAAAAATAGAAGAAACCCTGTATAGTTTCTATAGATCAGAGTATCTACAAGACAAAACTTATGTTCGTATGATCTAACGAACATTATAATAAACATTGATTTTTCTTTAGATTCTTGCCATCGCAGCTGCCGTAGCAGTTGCCCAAGCCGGTCTCATCGACTACCACCCCACCTCCGTAGCCCACGTAGCTCCCCTATCGATCGCCCACTCGGCTCCCCTCTCCCACGGCTATGCCTCCCACGTGGAAGACTTCGACGCCCACCCCAAATACGAATTCAACTACGGAGTCCAAGATGCCCACACCGGTGACCAGAAATCCCAGCACGAACAGCGCGATGGTGACGTAGTCAAGGGCTTCTACACCGTAGCTGAACCCGATGGTACCCTCCGTACCGTCCACTACACCGCTGATGACCAAAACGGGTTCAACGCAGTGGTAGAGAAGCAAGGAACTCCAGTCTACCCAGCTCCAGCTGCACACGCCGGCCCAGTGCACAATGTACACTCTGCCCCTGCTTACAATGTACACTCTGCCCCAGCTTACAATGTACACTCTGCCCCAGCATACAATGTACACTCTGCCCCAGCTTACAATGTACACTCTGCCCCAGCTTACAATGTACACTCTGCCCCAGCTTACAATGTTCACGCTGCTCCAGCCTACAATGTACACTCTGCCCCAGCTTACAATGTACACGCTGCTCCAGCCTACAATGTACATGCTGCTCCAGTCCACAAAGTGCTAGCTGCTCCAGTCCATAATGCGTATTACCATTAGGGCTCACACGATATAATTATAATTATTTATTCGAAAAATTGTACAGTGAATTTGTGAAATAAATGCATTAGTTCAGATGGTTATATTTTTCATTCTTCCACGACTACCACTGTAGGTTTTCAATATTGTACGAGTGATTGAAAATGGATTTCACGCTTTCAACACTCAATATCTCGAAAACTAAATAAGATATTGAAACCTTCGAACAAAGTCTTGATTCAGATGTCGTTCTCTTTCGGATGTTGAAAACCCTCCATTTCATTACTTATTTCGAAAGAGTGATATCGAAGGAATAAAACTTGAAATTTATTGGAATTTTCGCCATGAAATCATCTAAATCAACTAAAGTTGAACTGAAAACAGGAGTTTATAAAAAAAATCGATTATCAGTTCTCCTGACAGCAAACTTGAATTCAATAGATAATCTCACGAACAATTTCAATCAATCCATCTTAGATTCACCCAGTATTACTCCATGGAATGTATAAAAATCATATATTTTTGAACTGAGCAAAAATCACACTTTCAATATATGAATTGAAATATAGGGTGTTCCATTTGAAAAAATTCAAGATTTTTAACCCTTCCCCCCCCTTCCGTATATAGAAGGGAGATAAAATGCTTGGAGAACACCATTTGAAAGAGAATATCATATGATTCAAGATTTTGTTTTGAACATATTTAGTATTCAAGATATTGAGTGTTGACATCGTGAAATCCATACTCAATCACCCTTCTTCTCATTAATTTTCCAGGGGACGTCTTCCGAAAACAATCTCTCCAAGATACGGAAACATTATTAATATAAATTTCGAATATAATACCTTTTAATTTCATGATATCTTTTAATATACAATTACATTCATTTTTTAGGAATTCTGTTCCTCATAATAAACACATAGAGCTTATCCTTTTATTACATTCATACCAATAACTTGATTATTTGTATTCTTTGATATCATTTGATACGAACATGGACGTATAAAAAAGAAGGACACAGCCACCCTATAGTATCAGCATATAATGTTTTGAAGTAGGCAAGCGGGTTGAGGGGAAGGGAAACGGTAACGGTAGACTGTGCTATTTCCTCAAACGACAGCGGCGTGCGAAAATGAATCATCGCGATAGTAAATTTCGGAATCCAAAATGCAAAGAGAGACAGAACTCTTCATCTATTGGAAAATTATAAATTGAGTTGGCGGAAATACTCTCTTTGATGCCTACCTGCCTATAGAAACGTTTTTTTCTTCCGAATTCAGGTTTTCACATATTGAATAATGGATTTTATATGCCTGTGGTGTGGTGAACTGGTACGCAAAATAGATTAATAAAATAATGAAATTTCGGTACAACAAACCAACTATAAAGGGTGCCCCAAAATTGCTGGGACACAGAACTACCACGTGTAATGAGGCCAAAATAAATTTATATACACTATGTTATCTATTATTTTCACTACTTCATCAACCACTATTTTGACCCCCCGAAGAAGAACTTTTCCTCTGATTAATTGGTGATCACTCAATCCGATCAGTTTGGGAATCTATTTGAAATGATGCAGACGCAATATACTGTCAAATATCCTCATTCATGACTAACAGTTTATATTAATGAGGATAAGGATTATTACTAGACAATATGACTGAATAATAATAATAATAATAATATATTTATTCAATAAGCAAGCAAGTACATATATGTATATTCTACCGCTTATCGAAAAGGCTTGTATTCATGCTAACGTCTCAGAGACATGTTAGATTGATTTTCAATACAGCCTGTGGAAACAAGTCAACTCTTAATACAAAAATAAATATAGCTAGCACTGCACTAGCAGCCATGGAACTACCTACATGTCCGGAAAATCATATTACCAGACAAGATAGGTTGGAAATCACTGCGGATTCGAGAACAGAAAACAGAACGTCTAATTCCCTGAGTACTCAAATTCCTTCTGACAAATTTTCAGTTCTAAATTCTGTCTCATTTTTCATGGAAGCACCCCAGTATCAGTATTGTCTGAATTTTTCAATTTAATAAATGTTTCCTCCTGAAATGTCGGTGTTTCTTTCGATGCTGGCGAGCAGTGTATCATTGAAAATGACTCCACTTGGTCAAAGAGTACATGTTTGGTATATCTCGCGCTCCCAGCAAATTTCAGGAACCTCACACATGAATTCAATCGGATTGCTTTGAAACTTCGCAGACACTTTCTCAAGTGCTACAATTTTTTTCGTACTCCAATCATTCCATAGAGGTTCAATGAGTGAAAATATGCATATATTATTCAGAAATATATCATGATTATGAAACACGACTATCAAAAATCCGAATAACAGCATGAAATATATCACCCACTTGAACTGACCCATGGATATGTGTATTAATAATTGGCGCGTTAATGATATTATATAATGAAATGAACTGCTTACTAGTTAACTAGAATCCAAAACTGTATCACTTTCAGTTGCCTAATTGATCCATTAAAATTCTCAGATACCTAGCTCGGTCAATGTCATGATCATATATTTTATAATGAGTCGGTTTTAATGTTACCGAATATTGGACCTAGAAATTTTGTGAATGTAAACCATCAAAAATTGTATATAAGAATGGGATATCGTGTTAGATTACATATTCTGTTTGGTGATATCAAGAAAAGATCAACAACCAACAATAGAAAATGTTCTCAAAGGTAATATATGAATCAGTTATCTTCAATTACACTTCTTTCATACATCGTATTAGAATTTCTTTTCTCTGTCGTGTAAATATTATTTTTCTCTCAGAGAAATATTATTTTTCTTCAAGCGGCAGGGAAAGTGGCTTTTCTTTGTCACTTAACAGACAGGAAAGTTGTTCTTTCTCTGCCTAGACAAAAAAAGTTTGTTGCTGTGAAACGTAACAAGAAATCCCAATGAAATTGGTAATCAAAGTTGACACTGATATTGGGTGAACACAAAATGATGTAGTTTCCAATAAACAATTACACAAAATTGGTTTCATAACAGTTGGAGGAAAAATTATATGTTTCATACTACTCTCCTGCCTTCTAAAATAAATAACTATTTTCTTCAAGAGGCATAAGAAGTGACACTCAAAAGGCAGGAGAGGTTTTCTTTCTCTGCCTAGGAAAGAAAAGTTTGTTGCTATACAACATTCCAAGTACCTTGAATGACATTGGTAATCAACTGACATGAAGTGAACACAAAATGATAGGGTTTTCAATGGAAAAAGTACATAAAATTGGTTTAAAAATATTTGGGGAAAATTGTTATTCACCTAACAAGTGCGGAAAGTAGTTCTTTTTAGTAGTAGTTCGGGCAAGTCGTCAAGGGCAGATAAGACATTTTCCGCAAGAGTTAGGTACAAAGTTTTTCCTACGAGTGTTTTCGTCCATAATATCTATGAAAATAACGGTTTTCAATTAACAATATTTTATGATCATTTAGTTAGTCCTAAATATCCTCATTCAACCACATGTCTCCTGGTATTTCCTTCTAAATCGCCCGGAAAAGAAAGAATAATGCAAAAACGTAAAATTGTACGGACAAGTACAACTTCCGAAACGAACGATCATGCGGAAAATTTACTTTTCCGTACGCTCGTGGGCAAAGTTATAGAACCAACGTAGGTGATCTATAACTTACAGTGAAGGTGATATATCAGGAAAAGTGGAAGAACTTACACTCACAAATTCACCATTTTTTTGTTATGCATGTAATGGAGTTGTGACTGTAAGTTCTTTCATCCTTCCTGAATGATTATATGTTTCGACTATGAAATATCAGTCGTGACAGTCAATCTACTACTTTATTGATGCCTTTATAGTAAAACAAATGACTATTCTTGAATTCAATAGTTATTTACTATACAAGGGAAAAAAGTAGTAGATTTTAGCTCCAGGTTGTGTTGTCTCCCGACGCGTAGCGGAGGGAGACAAAAAAAATAACTTGCCAACAGAGATGAAATGCCAAACTTTTTTCCCGTCACAGAAAAAAAGTATTTTCTTTTCAGTGCGTCTCCATCCTTGTACTGGCTGCAGTTTGCCATGCTGGAGTTTTTGAACTTCCCCAAGTTCGTGGATATGCTGCACCAGCTCACCAAGTAGAAGATTTTGACGTGAGTAACTCATAATCATAGAAAATCAACAGATATATCATAGTGGTACCAAATTCAGAAATAGCATTGAGTTTCATAATGTCACTACTCACAGGGTGTCCGGAAAGGTCATGTCAAAATAATGTTAGAACTTGATAAAAAAGAATGTCTATCATACTTTGTTATCGCGTTATTGACCTTGAAAGCTCATGCAAGTCCATACATATGCATACTCATCACAATACTTTACTAGCTAGACATGCCATGAAAAGCCTGTGCTGCCGTCGTGATTGTCAATACACAGAGTTTCTATTCGAAATAATTGATAATATTATCACTGACCCATACATTTTACAGAAGCTCAGTTTCACTGTACCTAGGCAAAACTCTAGAGAGGTCAATACATCTCCCGACACCACGAACAAATATTTTGAAATACTCGCCTCTCCATTACATACATACATTAACTCACAGCTAGACATCTTTCATTGTTCTATCTAAGCGATTAAGTCTTTTCAATTTCGTAGTTTGTAAAAAAACGATGAAGGAATAGAACGGTGGAAGCAAGATGTTAAATTTGTCACCTCTCTCAAAAATGTCTCTATTAAACGGAAAAAATTCGTCCCATTCTCTATAGTGCGATAGACATTTTTTTATATGAAGTACTGACAATATTTTAGCTCACTCTATCAGCACTACCATTCATAACATGACCTTTCCGGACACCCTGTATAATTCTCGAAGTGATCCCACACTATTTCAACTTGAATTCTAGAGATGATGACAGTTTATGAATTGTAATTTGAGGCAGCATTTCAACCAATTTATTCCATGTGTACTTCGTTTTTATAGATCGCGTGCACGATGATCGACCCTGGAATAAAATAATATTGGAACACAACCTCACTTTTGTGTGAAACATTGAATTACAACCTTCCTTTTTCTAGTTGTGTACAGAGGAATCGAAGGATTGAAATAGTTTTTCACAATATGTTGGCATACGAATCGTGTTTTTTGCGCTATTCATAATTCAAGCATGCCTTCTCATTGTGCTGTTTTACAATACACAAAAAATGCAGGGAGAGACGAAGGAATATGATTCTTCAGGTAAATAGTAATCTCACCTAGTTTTCATTATGAAATTTCGTCATTTTTTATTGAAATTCCTTCTGCCACTATTGCAATTGAAGCTATATAATACTGCTGGTAGATTGAAAATGTCAACAACTCACACGATCATATTTCGTCAGCATGTCAGACTAGTCCTCCCGTTTGATTGCATATGCATATGAATCCAATCTTCCTGCATTATTTTAGAAATATCACGAGTATTCCTATTAGCTCCTATTGCAGAAGGAATTCCGATGAGAAATCAGAGAAATTAGCAAATTCCAAAATGAAAACTATGTGCATGTGAGTGACTGAAGTAGGTACTTACTTTCAAATCATAATTTATCAACTGGATTCCTCCGTCTCCCGCTGCATATTTTGTGCATTGTACAACAGCACAATGTGATAGCGTGCGCGAATCAATAAATAGCCGAAAAACACGATTTCTATGCAAAAATACTATTCCAATCACTTGTGTTTCAATGTTTCACCTCTAGGGTCGGTCATCTGACAGTTCTTGCACGCAACCCATTGAAAATTCTAACCTACAATTTCTATCAGGCTCACCCCCAATACGAATTCAACTACGGAGTCCAAGACGCCCATACTGGTGACCAGAAATCCCAGCATGAACAACGTGATGGTGACGTAGTCAAGGGCTACTACACCGTAGCCGAACCCGATGGTACCCTACGTACAGTCCACTACACCGCTGATGACCACAACGGGTTCAACGCAGTCGTGGAGAAGCAAGGAACTCCCGTTTACCCAGCTCCAGCTGCTCACTCTGCACCAGCACATAATGTATACTCTGCCCCAGTACATAATGTACACTCTGCCCCACTTGTGCATGCTGCTCCAGTACAAGCTGCGCAGTATGTGCACGCTGCCCCAGCTGTTCATTCTGCCCCAGCTTACTACCATCATTAACTCCTGTGGAGTTGATGGAGAGGAAATCCAAAAATTATTTATTATGTTATGATTATGAATATTGAATAAAATTGCCATAAAGTGACTTGTGCTAGAATATTTATTCAATGGAACAATCCAAGAATTATTGCAAATGCATTGAGATTGAATGAGATGAGATGAATATTTTCATCGACTAATCAGTGAAGCAACGAAATCAATGATTTTTTTGGCGATCATTTCTACTGTTCATATAGACTTTTGCAGTATCGACGGTATTTTTTTCTCTCGCACTCTTAAACATTGGTGTAACGAAAAAATATTCAAATAGAGGGTTTAACGGAAGTAAATACATATATTGAACACAGAAATATGCTCCATTTCAACGAAACTTCTCAGAAATCTCTGCTATCGTTACATTACTAGCAATATCATTTCGTTGTCAACCTTGGAAGAGGTCGATAACACTTCACCAAAGCTCGCTCGTCTATATAACGGCAAAGCTTTGGAGACCTGCAGAACATCTCATTCAAAAGACTCGTTCTTCCAATGAAGAGCGAGGCTCTGGAACACATTACCAAGAGAGGTGTTTCTCGAGGCATATAACCTCCAGAAATTTAAGAAGAACACCAATTCCTACCTCATTTTCCTTGGTTCTCACGATGTTCTCTGAACATTACTGGATATCCCTTTTCGTGGGTACCAGAACATAAAAAAAACACCTATATCTCCTCTCCCTATTCTCCCTAGGTACCCACAATTTTCTCCGAACATTAGGGGATTCGAAGGGATGAAAAAAAATCAATCGCATTTTCCTAAGTGTTCAAGTAGACGAGTAGTTTCATCTCGAAAATTGAACAAAACATTGGAAATAAAGAGTATGCTGCTTTAAATCTATTGAAATCCTAATGATTCTACTATTCAAATGAAAATTTAATGAAATCAGGATCCTGGCTACTATTTCATCACTAGCAATACTCGTCTGTAGAACAGCAAAGCTTTGGAATTCTTTGCCAATGAATGATTCCCAGAGACTTATGACGTTCAAAATTCCAAAAAAAATTCCAATACCTACCTCCTTCCTCTACACTCCCTAGTTACGCACGATGTCCATCGAACAATATAGGAATTTCCTCTTGTGCGCTCCAAGAGATGAAACAAATAGTAGAAGAGATCCAATAAAGAACTTTCTGGCCACTATTGAATTCCATTTGCTATCACACCATTTCCATGAACTGTGGAAACGTCGCTCCGTTCTCCAAGGCTTTTCTTGTTTTATATGCCTCCTAGATTTGATGGCTATATTTTTCTTCAATTGCTTATATTTCATACCTATTTAATGTATTCAATATTAAATTTTAATAATAATACCCTGTATATATTAGAAGATGCCCAATAAGCACAGTTTGCCTCACTTCTACATAGTATTTCAGTACATATCACACTTGATTATCTTATCTCATTATCTCAATTTGTTACTCATCAATAACTGATTCTCTGGTTCGCCTATTTGAATCGATACCAGAGTGTAAAAGACCCCATAGATCTTCTGCCAGATACTCTGATACTCATACCAAGATTGCGATCCATTCTCAGATGATCGTCTGCTGACGACATACTATATTTCATTATATTGAATGGGTCACTGTTGAACTCCCATAATATTTGCATACATACTTTTTCTGTAACTCACTCAGAAGTCGACCATTTCCATTCCAAGATTAGTTCTTGAAGCTTAAGTTTTATTTATAAAGACAATAAATGATTGATATGTCCTCGAATGTTGCTATACAACACTTTCAGTGCCTAGGAGCTGAATTTGATCATAAAAAGCAATGTTCTATTTTGTAATCATCTTGCTTTTGATATTATCTATATCATATTTTTCAATAACAAGGAAGTACTGACTATTATCAAGGCCCTTCACTTCCTCGAAAGTTATATTCTTTTCTACACAGTGACCACATTGTGAAAAAACAGCTGATCTATTGTGAGGAGTGAACAGTCAAACAATTGTAGTAAGTGAACATATTATTATAATCTTCCGAAGATTATACGGACTACAGATAGTATTCAGATAACAGTTCCAGCATCTCTCGAAAATAGCTAAACAGAAGTCTAGAAATGCTCATCTCTTGATGTACCTACCCTATTTACAGTAACAATTGATACTGAGGAAAGGTTCCTGAGCAACAACATGAGAATGATCACAGAACTCATCTCAGATCATCACAGGACCCAACACCTTCTTGACATTCAACAAAAGAACCCAGAAACATTACTCCATATCTTGTGAAAATTCAATTCACTATATAGACTACAAGACACAAATAATCTATATTGAACTTATCCTGAAAATAATCAAACAAGCAAACAAACTTTACATGTTGGCACTCAGAAGAATGTGTTTGGAACGAGACAGCTTCAGTGTCTGAAGACCCGAGTTTCTTACTCTTTGTGCACGTATTCAATACATAAATTCTAACTTCTCATGACTTGGAATGTCTCTACTTTCAACGCAAATCCAATTTTAGTATGAAACTAAATCAGTAAAATCAGTGGCTGGTATCTTTTGTATAATAAATAATGGAAACATTTTGCAAAATGGCTAACAAATGCGGATGCTGTATCAATATCTCAGTGGTGGTGATAAGCTGGAGCAGCCTGTACATTGTGCACATATTCATTACACAAATTATGTCTCCTCATGACTTGGATTGTCTCTACTTCCAGAATAGTTTTGAGCAAAGACAGAAGTCAAAAGTGCATAGCACAAGAGACAAAAGTCGCTCGAAATTGTAGAACTCCGCAGATGCCGACACTGGCACAGTCTTTGTGTCTTTGGCAATATAAACAAACATTGATCTTTTCGTTCGAGAACTTCTTCTTGAACCAACTAGATCAAATTAATAATCAAATCAGCTCTTAGGCTTCTTCGCCTAACTGATGTGACCCAAAAGGTCGAAAGCTCATACATTGCACCCTAAAATATCGTTGGGTTTAGGTGAAATAACTCGAATCCCAGTTTATTGCTTCGGATTCATTTGACAAAATCAAAAAAAAACCTTTGGGATTTTACAAATCTCCACGAATTCTGTGGCGCGTTTGTTCATGAGCATAAGTCTGAGAATCCAAAGAAGCAAAAGTATTCTTCGATTCGAAAACCTGTTGAGTTTGTGGCTTGTTTCGACTTTGGTTCGTCGTCGGTTTCATAAGTTAGGCGAAAAAGCCTAAGAGCTAATTTGATCATTAATTAGTCTCTACTTCCAACGCGAATACAATTTAATTATGAAACAAAATCAGAAAATTCAGTCGTTGGTATCTTTATTATAATAAATAACGGGAACAATTTGCAAAATGGCTAACAAATGTGGTTGCTGTATCAATATCTCAGTGATGGTAATAAGCTGGGGCAGAGTGTACATTGTGCACTGGGCCAGCATGCGCAGCTGGAGCTGGGTAGACTGGAGTTCCTTGCTTCTCTACGACTGCGTTGAACCCGTTGTGGTCATCAGCGGTGTAGTGGACAGTACGAAGAGTACCATCGGGCTCAGCTACGGTGTAGTAGCCTTTGACTACGTCACCATCGCGCTGTTCGTGTTGGGATTTCTGGTCACCAGTATGGGCGTCTTGGACTCCGTAGTTGAATTCGTATTTGGGGTGAGCCTAAAGCAGATTTCCGATTAGAATCAGAGCATACAGGGTTTTCAAACTGAAGTCGGTACTATGACTAACTTGGTTATCATTGGAGATATACAAAGTCAGTTGAATGGACAAACTAGTAGTATTTTTTTCACTGATAACGATGACGAAAACTGAACAAACATCTCACGTCGAAAAGTGTCTACAATTTCTTTCAATGGGGCACCCATTATACAATATTCTGAATCGATAGGAAATTCGATTCTGAACAGGAACTTTATCATAAATTTTTATCCTAAATCCAAAAATGATGATTCTTTTTCATAAGGCAAAGTTAGGATAATTAAATACCTCGACCATCCTTGACTAACAGAATCACTTTTAAAAATCATAGATTGAGCTATCAGTCATCTTGATTTAAGGATAAAAGATTATGGTGCAGTTTTTGTTCTGAATCAAATCCCCTATCGATTGAAAATATCATATTCTTGGTGTCCCATCCAAAGAAATTGAATTTTTTTGTCATCAAAAAAAAAAAAAAAAGAATCGGTATTGAGGTTTGTATGTTAGGCGACTCTTCATGGTTACTCTTTTCATCATAGTTCATCAGTGTCCATGTACCGTTCCATTCATTCAAGTTATTTTCGATCATTCCTGACTTCAACCTCATTTCATACTCTCAGCCTGGACAAATTACTGATGATGGGTTACCCATCAGGGTGCGCTAAAAAAAATCAATTTATCATTTGGTTTCTGCTTTCTTCATTTTTGAAAGAGATTCAAATTTCATTGACGTAACTTCGAAGCTGAATGACTTACTACAGTTGAAATCCAGGAATAACAAAATTACTGCCCAAATATCAAATGTTTTACAGATACTACACACAAAAAAAGAATCTCTTGTATTGAGCATGACTGCATTGGTCCAAGAAAATGATTTGTTTGTATATAACGAAAGAGATGATATTCTTGTTCCGAAACAATGATTTATTCATCAACTCTCTTGTAGGAAAATCAAGATATGCATGGTTGGAGACGTTTGTTATGTTGAAGTGAGAATTGAAATAATTCATATTGACAAAATCATTTACTTATTTCAGGAAAACCATAATTTTGAGATATGAAATCCATCCACCAAATGAAAACAATCATTTTCTCAATTTGCAACTATGGATTACTTTTATTGAGAATTGTTCTATTTCATTTCAAAATGAACGATTTATTTAAGTCAAAATTCCGTAAATTTTCAATGAACACATTGATATTTTCGATCCGAATTTATTAGATTTTTATAATGAATATTGAGCTCATTTTCTCTAATGGACCTATTTTCTTGTATCAAAATATTGACTGCTTGGATAAAAATATAATAATGTTTTTGATTCAAAACTGTGAATGATTCCCAATGAGATAACTAAACTCCACAGAATATTCGTGAAGAAATATATATTTGTTCCTTTATATAGTTGACAATAATCCCATGTATAGGTATGTACATCTTGGATCAGTATTGTCCATCAAGACCCCAAATGGTTATAGAATAATCATATGCCTTGATTTCGTCTTCTTGAAGTTTCGCTGGAAATGATAACGGTTACAAACAATGACATAAAGTATTATGATTGATTAAAAACTCACCTCTATAATATGTAATATCGTGACTCCAGTGATATCATATGCCTTCTGGAAGATATCGGGTATATATAGATTCGAGATACTCGGCAGGAAACTTTCTCTCACCTAATGTCAAGGTCTTCTCAAGTCTTTGCAAGTCATTTGTAGATAATACTTCTTCATTCATCAACCAGTCGTCATTTTGCTACAAAAAAAATTTCGAATGAATTAATAAGCATATTTTCATAGCAGGATACTACTAAATCCCTGTTATTTTGATTGAAAAATTGTTGATTCACTCACAATGACTATCGATATTTGGAAAGGTAACTACTTACCAAGGGAATTCAATACCTTCACCAGCTCTCTACAAGTTCTGCATTTGTTATTACATATTTATATTCCACATTTCCACCTATACACACTCAATAAAACTTTCAGAATTTTCAAACTTCGCAGCTTAATGCCGTTTCGCCGTTGTGGGCCTGTCATAATGATGTGAGCATGGTCGATAATCATTGAAGACTGAGGCCTGAGTTTTGGCAACAGGATTGCTTACCCTTGATGTCCGAGGGCATATTATTTTCTTCCAAAGAAATACCTATTCATAGACTTGAATCGAGTAAATAAAGTATTGAATCAAAATGTGGCTTCTTCAATTAGAGAAATTATTAATATCATCAAGTTCATCAAGTTGAAGATATTATATTCCTTTCATTTGAGACAATTGATATTCATATCTTTGAATCAAGTAAATATGGCATATAATAAAACTATCAGGAGTCTTCGATTTGAAGAAATTATAATACCAACATGATGAAATTAGAATGCTTCATTTGAAGAAATAATTATTTATATTTTTGTTTCAAGAAAATGGCGTATTGCCTCAACATATTAGGTTTTTGCAATTCAAGAAAACTGAATATGTCATTCGATGAAATGGACATTCTTTGATTTGAAGAAATGTATACTTATATTCTTGGATCAAGCAATAAATTTATTGAAACAAAATAGTACGCTTCTGCGAATTGAAAATTCGTTTTGATTGAGTTGAAGTAATTAATTTAGTAATTCGATAATTACATTCTTGGTTTGAGAATATATTTCAATAATATGACACTATTTTCTTGAACATACCAAATTTCTCGACTCAAAAGAATATGCTCAATTCAAAGAAGATATACAATTGAATTTTCAAGAGAATGGGTTTTCTCATTCGAAGAAATTTTTTTTCTGTGTGTATCAGCTTACGAAATGAATATTTTGTCAATTTGAAATGATGCATTTCCAGTACAATAATTTCGAAAGAGCATGAGTCTACCGGAATCGATCTAAGTAGATTAGTCGAACAAAAGAATATCAATCGTGAAATGTCGAATATTGTTTTTTAATGTCAATATCAATGAACTGAACGAATCTCGAGCTATTAGGAATATGTCGGTTTCAATGTTCTATCTCACTCAATACATGAATAACGACAATAAAATAATATGAAGTTACACCATATACCGGGTGAACCGGAACCAATTTACTCCTCTGTATATTCGTTGCTATTTTCAATGGATGTTTCAAATTCAGTAGATCGATTTGATTGCATGAGTGTATTATTTTGCTATTATCAGACGGAATATGTGACCGAAATTGCATCCAATTTTTTCATTTCAGATACAACGTATATTTTTTCTCTAGAAATTAGGATTCAATTTAAAATTACCTATCCAACGATATGACATAATCATACTCTCGTTCAACAATCTAGTCATATGATTGAGATTTCACAGAAAATTACATCTTGTATTTACCTCGTGACTGAATATTTTCATAAAAGTGTGCTATGGATAATGAAACAATATCATGTGAGTAAAAATAATTCGATGTCAAAGTTTTTACACAATCATTTTTATGCAGAGTAGTAAACTATTTTTTACAATTTTAGTTTTTCTTTTATTTTCAACACCAATTCGGTTTCAAATGCTATCATAGAATTTTCTCATATTGGTTAGAAACTCCTATACCCCATACATATAAAGAAGAGACTGGCAAAAATTTCAAATTTTTGTTTCCTATTCAGTTTTAATGAAGATCATCTCCATACTTTCAACTTCATGTTAGTGGCTATGATATTGAAGTTTTTCAATGGGTGCAAAACTATTATTGAAACTGCAAAATCTGATGCAACAAAATATTTACTCTGATTATTTTTTTTACATGTCAAAATGTGACGTTTTCCTTGTTTCAACCAATATCAATGCGTGATTCTAGCCAATCATTCGGAATCATACTGATAATTTGTTAGTATCAAATTACCGCGATGACTTATTCACGTTTGGATCTTCCTTCAAATGGATACAAAAAGGGACCCATAGACTGCGATGTTGATAGGCTGTTTTGTTCGACTAACAAGTCTGTTCGAACAAAAATTGCGCACAACCGAAGTGTGTGGCTGTAAAATGTTCGTTTTCGCTGGCCACACACTTTAGTTTTGTGTCTTTTTTGTTCGAACAGACTTGTTCGACGAACAAAACGGCCTACCAACAACGCAGTCTATGGGGCACCTTTAGAGAATTAGCATTGACTTGACTTGGTTGTCAAGGTAACGCAGCTATTTGTCTCAATGTAAACATTTCGAATTCAGAACCGACGCCATTGTTAAGTATCAGTCAGACTTCGTATTTTGTGATTTTCTCTAACGTTTAAACGAGTTGGTATAGGTTCGGAAAAACTTTACAATTATTATTAGTCATTAACAGAAACCGACATGAGCACGAGATTTGGTCAAAGCTCGGCTGATTCAATACATTTAGCTGTCGAACAAGCAACACCAATCAACACCACAAAAAGCAAGAATACGATATGGAAACAGTTTTTGGAGTTCTGCCTTGAACGTAATTATGAGTTGACTGCAACAACCGAGATGAAACAAATCGCATCAATTATGGAGGACTGGGCATATAACATGCGAAAAAAAAATGGAGAAAACTACAAAGAATCTGTTGTCAAAACTTTGTGGAATGTCACCGCAAAACTTATCCAGGAAAAATATTTCAGGGAGTATAATAGAAACATTGATCCGTTCACTGATATTGAATTTAAGACCGCGCGAGATGCGCGGAATTGCAAACGTCGAGAACTTCAACATATTCCTGAAAAAAGAAAAGCATCTTCTGTTGCTCTCAAGAAAGAAGAAATAGAAAAAATGATAGCAGCATGGGACGAAAATACTCCAAATGGCTTACAAAGGAAGTTTTATCATACTGCTAGCTACGAATTGGCTTGGAGAGGCGGAGAAGCGACAAAAGCATTAGTACAGTATTTTAGAGAAGAAATGGATCATTATGGAAATCAAACTGGAAGGATAGAATATAATCCAATAATTTCTAAAACAGCACAAGGAGGATCGCACAGGTTATCTGATAGCAAATTTTTAACGCCAAATGAAAATGAGACTGAAAAATGTCCAGTACGTCTCTTTCGGAAGTTAATGTCGAAAAGAAGTGCAAATATTCAAATTGATCGTTTATTTTTAACACCTAATCCAAATTGGCAGCAACCTTTGTCTAAGGGGTGGTACAAAAATCTTCCGGTAGGACAAAATGAAATAGCAAAATGGACAAAACAAGCGGCCCGAAAGATTGGCTTGGATCCTAGCAAAATCAAGGTTACAAACCATTCACATCGTTCTTCTGCTGTGACACAACTCGCTAAAAGTGGAGTAAGTGAGCAGCAGTTGTTGAAGATAACTGGACATTCATCTGCAAGCTCCATCAAACCCTATCTTCAACTTGACAAAGAGCATCACGCAAGCATGATAAACAACTTGAGAGGAAACACTGTTTCGACCTCTTCATCTCAAGGAAATTGTACAATAACATACAATAATTGCACCATTACAAACGTAAATTGTAAACATTCTTGATTGTTTGATATATAATTATTTGATATATAATTGTTTGATATATAATTGTTTGATATATAATTGTTTGATATATAATTGTATGATAAATGATTGTTCAATAAATAATTGTTTAATAAACATATTCTGGGGCATTTTGCGAAATAGTAAAAAAAATAATCACGCCGAATTACATTCGTGTTGGTTATTTTTTTAAATAATTTTAACTAGATTTAGCACTCGTCTTTGTTGCTATTGAGAAATCCCACTCGTGGACTTCGTCCACTCGTGAAATTTCTATAGCAACAAAGATTCGTGCATCTAGTTAAAATTATCAAAAAATTACCACCACTTGTGTAATTACTGTTGATAATTTTCCTTCAAGTTACGAGGAGAATACAAATAGCAAGGAAAAAAACTTGTAGATTTCAGCTCCAAGTTGTGAGATAAAAAACCGTGAGCTGAAATCTTATATTTTTTCCGTGTAAAATACACTATTTTCTTCTGTGACAGAAAAAATTATAAATTAGAATGAAGGAGATATTACATTATATCAAAATTTACGACGTGAAATTTTAAGGTTTCAACAGGAATTACATCTGCGTTGCAGGTATTCTTTCGCAGGTATCTATATTATTGATTTGAAGTAATCAAAGATCTGTCAGTCTGATTTTGTGATATGATTCCAAAAAATTGTGAACTCAGAGGATGTTTAGTAATTTGCGTAACCGCGAAGTGGAGTGGAAAATAAAAAGACTTGAAGTTCTTTCTCGGAGACGGTGTTATTGGCTTATTTTTCAGAACTAGCACAACAAAAGACATCTACAGTGTATATATGTGTGATATATACCCGGGAAAAAAGGACTCACTTTTTTTTTTTGGAAAAAAAAAGACGTGATTGCTGAAAAGTGACATTCCATAACTTTTCGACACAGATGAAGTTTCAAACTTTTTTCCCCTCACAGAAAAATGGATTTTTTTCATACAATTCCAATTGCAAGCTGTAGATTGGAAGTATAATTGTGATATATCGTTAGAGAGGTGATTTCATACTGAATCGAGAATTTTGAAAAATATGTTCCCTTCGTATTTGAAATAAAAAAGTATGTATCTCTCAGGCGACACCAGAAGTGTTATATTTGGTCTGATACTAGCGAAATGATACACTCATGGCATCAAATCGATGTACCAAATTTTGAACATCCATATACAAAATAGCAACGCGAAGATACAGGTTGGTGAATTAGTTCCGGGTCACCCAATATATTGGACTTGATACTGATCAAAAAGTTAGAATTGTTTTTATGATTATACGGCACAATGCACAAAATTAAATTTCGAATATTTATGTGCAGATAGTATAGAGGTGACGCCACAAAAATGATACCATCAGAGGCTTTTTATGTTCAGAGAAAATAATTAAAGGATATAATCTAGGCAGAAATGAAACTTCGGCACTCGAACTAGGATAAGATTCACTTACATCGAAATCTTCTACTTGATGAGCTGGGGCAGCATATGCATGAACTTGGGGAAGTTGTACAAGTCCTGCTTGGCAAACTGCAGCGAGTGCGAGAATTGTTACACACTGAAAAAAATCATTAACTATGTACCTCATTTTCCCATCTACTCTTCGATAACTCATTCAATATGAGTTTTATGATTCGAACTGTACAATATTCGATTGTGAACTCTTACCTTGACGAACATTTTATTATCAAGTATTGCCTGGTTGCTTCTTGGGATACACTGAACTATTGTATGTCAGCTGAGAGATCGAACGATTCTTATATACCACCAACATTTTTGGGAGGATAAACATTCACAAAAAATCTAGTTCTAATTGTTTTGTAATATTCAAATCGGCTGTTACGTAACACTTAGCTTTGTCGTGGAGCACTGTAGAGAAGAAATTCCAGTATATCTGAACTGAAAGTGAGACGCTCGTGATAAACTCTTCATATAATTATAAATAGAATCAGTAAGTTTTGGAAATATATCAGAAATAGAAACTGAAAACGATATTCATTGTTTTTTATATAAGGACCAGTTTTGTCAACTCACCAGCAGTGCTTCGTGTTACTTATTCTAACAATGCTTTGAAAAAATATCCAGAACCAAAATGATTGGGTTCATGATGATGAAAATTGGATCAGGGCCAAGACAATACCAGAATGAATCCACCAACCTACCAAATAACAGTAATTATTCATTACTACACGAATAATCACTGCTAATAACAATCATTGTGAACTGAATCAACCTTGACGAAGATGGATTTCAAGGAAAAATATTCGAAGATGTTTATAGTAGATTTCCCTCGAATGAATAAGAGAAATCTGAAAATATGTAACGGATTTTTGAAGCAACTACTTCAATTACTTTGTTGCAATAAGAATTGTAATATTTTATTGAATATTGGTGCTATATATAAGGAAGAATTGATTCAGAGTATTCACAGTGGTTCATTGCATTGTGCTTGATACTAATCAAGAAAAACGATAACAATTCCATGAAAATGTTCGGAAAGGTAAGTTTTATTACATCAAATTATTTTCTAAAATGCAATTGAAACTATTAAACAATACTTCTATCCTAGTTTGTCGAAAAACTCAATTAGTCTGAGGGATGTCTTGACAAATTTGAGTAACCGGTATAATATTTCAACCATGATTGTAATCTCTGGCCATATATGGTCCTATGAAATAAACAGAAACAGAGACACCTGTGAAGGGATTCTATATCAATATTCTCGTGTTCTGACCTTGGAAAGGCTTCAAATTGAATCAACTTAGTAGGTTGTATCTCCTCAATATCTCTCAGTTCACAATATTTTCGTTTGATAACATCATGATGATTGTTCATTGCTGTCCACATATTTACATCATCAATGAGTCATACTACCTATATGTATTGAATAATATGTAAAATCATCTCCAAAACTCCAATGGCTACCTATATAGGCTCATCTTCAGCTCATAGTTGGATATTATGAAAATATACAACAAAATCGATACTGAACAATTCAGAACAAGCCAATGAATTGTTCTGAGAATGATAGATTTCATACTTTAACAATTAACTACTATAGGAACATTGAAAATGAAAATATCCAAGGAACATCAAGATCGGATGCAAATTTGCAGATATATGACCTGTTACTTCAAGAGTCAACATTCGTCATCTCAGATTGGCTAATATTTCTATCAAAACTAGGTCGAGATATAGCCACAGGGCCGGATTATTCCTATCAGGGCCCTTTGGTAATGCAATTCTAGGTCCCCCTCTTCCTTCGCCCTTTTCTCACTTCTTGTAATACATTTACTATACCAATATAAAAGTCGAGTCGATCAGATCGATTTATTTGGTATCCTGTTATTTCAATCCCTTGTGATATTGCACCTGCTGGACATGATGTTACAGCATCATCTAACAAGCCTACTCATTGTTTATTGCTCTCATTGATCATCAATCAACACTTGATCAATAGTTTATTGTCAGTAATGACCCAGGTCATGATGGAGCAGGAGAGAGAAATGAGACGCTGTTATATGCGGGGCCCCTAGGCAGTTGCCTAGTCCGCCTCATGGATAATCCGGCTCTGGATAGCCATCATAGTTTTCAGAGATCCTCATATTCTCAGATGGCTGTAGTAAGAAGAAAGACCTCGAAATTTGGATAGACCAAAGATTAAATCTATATGGATGACATATATTTCATTCATGAGACACCCATCTACCAATATACAGGGTGTCCGGCTATCATGTGCAAAAATCAAGGTAGTGATTCTGCATGAGAAAACATTCATTCTCCATAAACTTGGGTCCGGGAATGCATAGTTTTCAAGATACAGTGTGTTAAACTTTTTAGAAAAAATCGTTTTTTTATGAATATCTCAAATATACTTCCACCGATTCTCTTGAAATTTGGAAATGATATTCTTTGTCATGAATGACTCATTTAGCCATGATCAAATTGGAATTGTGGAATTCAGTGGCGTCCCGGGGGCACCCTACCAAATATTATTGTCAATATAAAATGTGCGCCGCTGATTTTTTCAAATTCTATATTTCCATATACTGGGCTCCGTGGCCGAGTTTGTCTATGCGCTGAAATTCGATAGATAGCCGTTCATGATGCAGAGGTACTGTCGGTTCGAATCAGGCTATCGGCTGAGCATTTTTCTTTAAAATGTGTGATTCATGGTTGTAATCCTGGCAGCACCTCGATGCCCTAGAAGTGGTTCGGATTCCACTATAAGCTGTAGGTCCCGCTCTTCCTAGCCCCGCACAAGTTTCGACTTCTGGGGAGTTGGTTCCCAACTTTGAAGTAGCGATATACAAAAAATATCCTAATGATTGACTGAAAACAACATTTTGGTCTCTTGAATTGTCATGCTATTTCGCTGAGTTTCCGTGGAGAAAAATAAATACCAATTCATTGTATGAATGTCCGTAGACGTAGAATGAGAATGAGGATTCATTTCCTTCAAATATTTCAAAATACATGTTTGACACACTTTGTATTATCGAAAACTACGCCTTCCTGGACCTAGAATACATAGTTCTCCATATACCGAGTGTAGAGTGTGTCAAACATGATTCAAGAAATATTTGAAGAAAATAATTCTTCATACTCATTCTATATCTGTGGACATTGATCACGCATTTATTTTCACCACAGTTTATGGAGGAATTCTTTGCCACAAATTCATGCAATGAATTGTTTTTTTTTTCAATGGAAATGGTGTATTTTTAGTTGTTCAATAGGTTATGAAGATACATAATCCAAAAAAAAAGGTGGCGCACATTTTATTGACAATAATATTTGGTAGGTTGCCCCCAGGGACGCCACTGGACTTCATAATTCCAATTGAATTATGGCTATATCAGCCCATCATGACAAATATCATCATCGCCGAATTCAAAACATTGAACTAAAATTATCAGTCTGTATCGAATAAGATTGTCATAACTGTGATCAACATCATTTTGTTTCCTTTCAGACAGTTATAATTCTATCTGCGATAGCTCTTACTCAAGCAGGACTCATACATTATCCCCAAGTTCATGTAGCAGATTCTAGCGATAAGGATTACTATGCCTACCCCAAATACAAGTTCAACTATGGAGTAAAGGACCCTTTGACAGGAGATAACAAGTCACAGTATGAGGAAAGAGATGGGGATACTGTTAAAGGTAGGAATGAATATTGAGATGTTATCTTGGACACCAAAATCGAAGGATGTTTCATCCTGAATTATACTTTGAAAACAAATTTAGGTACTTGTTATAAAGGGTGTCTAAAGGTAAAACCGACGAAACTGATGGGGTTATAGAACCTGCCAATATGAATGGAAAATGCCATATTGAATACAGGGATTACTCGATTAGGTTCAAATTTGGTACATAGATTAAACTCGAATGCTTCAACAAGTAGCTTCTGAATGAAACCAATATAGGGACCGATATACTGAGTGTTTCAGATTTAAATGTACATACGATACCTGTAGATAGGGGACATTGTGATGGTTTTAAATCACCCCCCTTTGATGTGTCTACGGTTTTTTATAACTGAAATACAGGACGATATCTTGATTTTGGCAAAATCATCATCTGGTCATAGCTTTTGAACCACTTTGTATAATCTATCCATACTTGGTAGAACTATTTCACCTATATCAGTCATCAGAACTAAATGAAAATCGGGATCAAAATCCAGGTCCGTCTTGAGGAAAAACAGAAAACTTCTTTTATATCAAAAATAACACTCTGTATGGCACATTATTTCAGATCTGTTTCAATATTTGAAAAGAGCAGGGAGAAACGAATAAAGTGACCTACTTTTTACAACCGCGCATCCGATTTGACAGATGTTGCATTATCATTTTCTGATATAGTCGGCTCCATTTTGAGTCATTTTTATTGAACTCGTAATTCAAAATCCAATTATTACACAAAATAATAACGTCCTTCGAATTTCAACATCATTGGGGTGAAATAGATAGATCTGTTCGTTCGACAGAATAACGTCTGATGTGGTTTTGGGCTCCTTTTATTCTTCACTATTCATTCATGAGCTGCTGCGGTAAATCTATCAATAGTTCACCTAATTTGCTTCTAATGACGTTCAGCTTTAAAGACTATCATTTTTTTTGTGTCCAAATCGGATTTTGAATTACAGTTCAATGAAAATGCCTTGATATGGGGTGAATATTTCAAAATATAATAATAAACCATCTGTCAGATTGGATGCGCGCTCGTAATAAGTAGGTCACTTTATTAATTTTTTCCTGCTCCTTCCAAATATCAAAACAGATCCACAAAATTTAGCCATACAGAGTGTTGTTTTTGAAATGAAAAGTTTTCTGTTTTTCCTTAAGACGGACCTGGATTCTGTACTCAATTTTCATTTAGTTTTGATGTGTGATATAAGTGGAATATTTCTACCAAGTATGAATAGATTATACAACGTGGTTCAAAAATTATGACCAGATGAAGATTTTGCCAAAATCAAGATAACGTCCTGTATCTCAGTTATGAAAGACGGTGAACACATCAATGGGGGTGATTTGAAACCGTCAGAGTATCCTCTATCTGCCAGTATCGTATGTACATTTAAGTCTGAAACACCCTGTATAATTTTATCATTATAATAATGTATAATAATGATCGAAAATCTGAGGTCATATTATGAATCTACGTAAAAAATACTCTAGCTTGTTGGGAGAATTTATGGAATTATTTCAGTCATTCCGTAATGAATTATTATTTGTATTTTTTTCATTAATAATTGTCGACTAAAATATTGTTAGAAATGGGAATATGATGGATATTTAGGAAACCAAGACATATTTGTTGTTATTTTCTTCGATAACTTCTTAGAAATATTTTGTTAACCACTCTCGTAACCTAAAAAACTGAAGAATACATTCGTGTCAGGACCGGAATGACTCTTTTTCATGTTCTTGTGAGTACAGGGTGACCCTAGAAGGTCTCTACAAAATCTCAGCACGTATTGCTGAGGTCTGAATGCCGATTTGTAGCAAAATATCTCAATCCAAAATTGTTCCATTTCCGAGATACAGGGTGATTAATTCAAAAAATTGAAATCGAATTTTTTCAAAATTCATGAACATTTTTGAACGTTTCACTTAGAAAATTAGTAGCCAGGGTATCTTCGGAATGCGGAACCCGAATACTGGCTTCCACACTGTGGCCATCAGAGGGCGCTCCCCAATGTAATTCTTATGGTTCAGAAGGGCCATGATATTCTCCTCAATTCACTTCCTCGATTTTTTTGGGATAAAATGATTTTTCAAATATTTCTGAGCAAATAAGGTTCTCTCGTGAAAAAAGTAAGCCGATTTAGAGATATTCCGGTTTCAAGAGTTTGCTGCCGCACCGGAATAATAAAATCATTCTGAATCAGTGAATGAGTAATGAAAAAATGGATTTTCCAAAACATGTTTTTGGAGTGTACCTGTTGATTTTTATTTTTTATATTTATCTCCCTGTATCTTGGAAACAGAGCTATTTCGGACAGAATCGAGTTATCCCAAATCGGCTCAGACAATGCTTTGTGTTTTCGAGAACCTATGACAACTTTACTGTCATCATTTGGTGAACAATCATTCCCGATAGTCCGTTTTATGCAGAATAGGATGACGTTAATTTCTCTCTGTAATATATACTTGTACGTTTTTTTTAATGCGACTGTACGTGCTGAGATTTTGTACAGAAATTTTAGGGACACTATAACTATCCTATTATAACAATCACCATCAATATATGATCGTAGATTCGGAAACAACTGAAAAAATCGTATAGAAACTTGTTGAATTTTTCGTGAATTTTATTTGCTTTCACTTACGAATTTGGATTTATGGAAATACTACACAAAGAACAATATTTTTTTGTAATAAACTCATTCCACCTTCTCCTATATATCCTTCAATTTTCAGTTTATGAGAGTGTTTCATAAAGTATTGCTATAAGATGATCTGAGACAATAACAACAATTACGTCTGGTTTCGTAGATGTTTATTATATTTTCATTTTTGGAAATATTGAAATAATAATATATCACGGAATACCTGAGATTCTGCCAGAAATTTTCCCATAGTATTTTTTTGTAGGTTCATAATGAGACCTTAGATTTTTCATAATCATTGTACAGGGTGTTGCTCTCACGATAACCCAACATAGGAAAAAAATCCGGTCCTGATATTGGTTCCGTTCAGAATGCTACTAATTGAAGTCGTTGAGTTCAATTCATGTACTGAAATTGAACCCGATCGGGTCATTCCTGTATTTGGTATGGCATATTGAATGATTGTCAAAATCCACAAATCACTCTGCTTGTCAGTAACAATCAGTCCTGATAACCCCATAAGTTTTGTCGCTTTTATCTCTGGACACTCTGTATACTGAATATCCCTGATTGAAAAGAAGGACACATTTCATATATGTTCACTATTTTTTCTTTTGTCATTTACTTCCTGAAATCGACTAGTAAGTGTCTATAGGAATCGGTTGTGGTCTATTCATATTTGAACATTATCAAAATACAATGGGTGAAAAACTTTTCACTCTGCGAGTTTGGAATTGGTATGAACAATATTCAATACAATTTGTCACGGAACCCTATCATAAAAATTTGATAATTTATTTTCCAGGAAGCTACTCGGTCGCTGAACCTGATGGTACCCTTCGCACTGTGACCTACACTGCCGATTCCCATAATGGCTTCAACGCTGTTGTTGAGAAATCCGGACATGCTTCGCACCCCCAAATCTATGCAAAAGAAGTACCCTCAGTTGCTATTTATGCTGCAGAACCTCTAGTTCATCACTAATCTTCACGGTGCTTGTTGTTTTTCTCAATTGCAGAAATAAACTTCCTTAGAATGTTCCACAGTGTTCTGTGTATTTTTATGTTAGCCCTTCCTTGAGTACATATCGACTAGTTCCTTGAAGAAGGTAGTCGACAACGACACGAGATGACAGCAGATCACAAATCAACATGTCACTGACAACTTATGCTTCAAAAGTAAATACTCAAGCTACAGTTCGTCTAACATGAAACCATGTCCCGAAGAATAGTGGCAGTACCATTGAACTCAAATCTCGAAGCAGTAGCATTCGAAAGTAAAAAAATACCAGCTGAACCAGTGGGAAGACAGTTCTTTGAAATGATGAACGCTTCCTCATCACTCATCTTCTGGATGTTTGTTATGATGCTGATGTATACATTGTCACTGGCTATAGCACTACTGATAGTCTGTGTAGGAGTGAGAAATAATAATGTTGAAGATGAGGATGATAGTCCAAGCAGTACAGTGGGAAACGATTCAAATGTGGATGAAGATAGTCCTATCGGTACTCCTAGGATACTGATATAGTAACGAAGAAATGAACTCATTATGCTTTGTACTTTTTGAGTGACGTCAGTGTCAACTTGTGAATCTGACTGAAAATTCAACGATTGTGATTCCTGGGCTGTCTTATACTGGTAATATGAATAGTTGGAGAACAGATTCAGCTGATAACAGAGTATCTCAGAGGATCGTGGCTACGTCACCTAATAGCCAGATAGAAGTGGTCGCATTGAAGGGTGCCAAGATGGAGACTAATGAGAACACTGGGAAGCATCCTTTCGATTTGATGGATGCCTTCACTTTGCTTTTATTCTGGATATTGATTATGATGTTGATGTTCACGATTTCGGTAGCAATTGCTCTGCTCTTCACCGTTATTATGGTGAGAAATATTTATATAAATGATTTCGAAGATGATAACAATGGCATTTTGTCTAATTAAAAATGAATAAAGAATATTTCTACTCTTTATATTGATGAGTTATCAAAAAGAATGATGTGTGTTATATAGTTCAATTCTTAGTTAGATCCAAAGGTTTTGAAAGTCCTCTCAATAAATGGTACAACCATTTTTGTATCAGAAAAATATATGATTGGAATTTTTCGAGAGTTTTTCATTTCAGTAGGTAGGCATACAATTGTGGAAATAATTTGATTATGTTCATTTTGGATGTGTCATTCAGAATATTATAGTTTCTTCATCAATGCAACCAATAAGATCTCTTATTCTTATGATCGTGTTCTATTTCTAGATTTCTGATAAACCTTCCTGACTCTTTGTTTTCAATACCTATCTTTCCCAGAGGTTCTCCAACCTTTTTATTGATGAACATATGAAGGAACAAAGATTTCGTTATTATTTTCCCGATGTTCTGAAGAAGGCCCTATTCTCGGTGAAGATTTACCGTTCTATAAACGTATGACTCTTGGTAGAAAGTTATTCAATACATCTGAGGTCTGGTGATAGATCATTGTACTATGCTGATGATCTTGTGACGAAGCAGGCAGATCATTCATCTCTCAATGAAATTTAGGAAAGCAACAGAATATGATATCAAAAATCAAGAAACAGTCGAACTTTAAAGTACTTTTTCGCACATACTGAAATCCGAGTCCATGTGAAGCATTTCTCACGATTCATTTCAAATGATCGGTATAGATAGATAATTGCTGATGGTGGATACTGAGAACAGAATTTTGAACTCTCCAGAAATTTATGTGCTAGACATTTCATCATTGAACCAACTAGGTTCAGCTGTTCCAGGAAACGATTTTTAGGCTTGTGATCTGGTGTCATTTAGGTCTATCGTTCAGTCCTAACATTTTTATGGTGCTCACAAGACTCCTGAAAATCAATTTTTCTCATTTATACTGGTATTTTATTCACCTGCTCTATAGATAACACTTTCGATGAACAGATGATACACCGCAGTTACATTCTTATGTGTCAAACGTTCTTATAGGATGTTACATTCACTTACAGAAGCTTTTTTCTTGTCTAGGTGGTTGAAACCCTTTGTGGGTTTCATATGGGTCTGATCCTTCATACCCACATAATACCCGACCTCGTTTGTTGGCTTGTCTGATCGATGTCTCCCATGACACTTGGGTCTAGTGACCAAGAGGCTTTGAAAGCACTTCAAATGGAAATGCCCACTTCCAAAGGAAACAATAGTCTTTTATTCGAGTACACAAAAATATATATGGCGTGTAGACAAAGGCTATGAGGAATCTAACCAAAAAAACATGAGGTATATAATATACACAAATGAGCAACATCCTGAGCTTTCGGGATCATTCAGTCGTTCAAAACACAATTCCAAGGGTTGTAAGGTTCAGATCTGTAGTTCAAACTACAACAGTCCTTCATCACTAGAACGTAGGTGATCTGTTGAGAGTACGTTTATCTCATGCTAGTTTTGTAGTCCCAGAATTCCTATGGAGCCAAGTTCTCCTGATGATTGATTTTTCCATTTCTACAGGTGTTTTATCAGCCTTTTACAAAAAACACTTTGAATGAACAATGAGCTGTTTTAGTCCGTTGTGTAGGATGCTACATACATTCACCCACTTACAGATGCTTTGGGAGTCCTATGAAGAAAAATGTCCACTTCAAAAGGAACGATAGTATTTCATTCGAGTACACAAATAAAAATATGGCGTGAAGACAAAGGCTATGACAAAACTAACAATACAAACATGAGGTATATACACGATGTTCTTTGAACATCATAGGGATATCCTTTCGTGCGCTCCATGCGATGAAAAAAATTCAATAGATTCGTGTCCAGCGAGCGCGTAACCTCCATGATAATGACTTGGTGACGGCCTGGGGGTGCACAGTTTCAGTCATAAATGTTGGTATTCCTCACACCTATAGAATTATTTTTTCAGTTACAAAGGCTTTGGAAGATCTTTGATGGAGTAGTTTAGGGAAAAAATATGTGATCGAAATCAATTATTTTATCTCTTTCGAGGATACCAAAAACCATTATTTCGAGGGTTGTAGACTTTAGATCTGTAGTTTGGATAGATAACGTCAGTCCTCATCGCTGATACGTAGGCGATCTATTGAGAGTACGTTCATCTCATGCTGGTTTTGTAGTTCTAGAATTCTCATGGAGCCTAGAGTTCTCCTGATGATCAATCTTTCCACTCCTCCTGTTATTATATCATCCTTTTCCAAGAAACACTGTCAATAAACAAGAAATTCAATGAGCAGTTTTAGTCTCTCGTGTCAATAAACGTTCTGTCGTTCAGGATGCCACATTCAGTTACTCACAGAGGCTTTGAGAGTCTTATAAAAGGAAAATTGCCATTTCTAAGGAAACGATAGTATTTTATTCGAGTACACAGAAATGAATATGGCGTGAAGACGAAGGCTATGAGAAAACTAACAAAACAAACATGAGGTATATACACAAATGAGCTACATTCTAAGCATTCGAGATCATTCAATGGTATCCAAATCCGCTGAATGCGTAACCTCCATGACCATCCTCCAAGACCTCCGTATCCAAGAGCGATGGCAGCTGCGAAGATGGCAACAGGAGCGACAACGATAAACTTGGCGATGACATATAGGTGGACAGTTTCAGTCATGAATTTTGTCATTACCCACACATTTATAGAATTATTCTTCCACTTACTAATGCTCCGAAAGGTCTCTAATGGAGTAGTTTGGGAATGAATTCTCGATTCGAAATCAATTATGGTCTCTCTCGAGATCACGGAAAAACACAATTCCAAGGTTTGTGAGGCTTGTTCTAAAAATTGTTCTGAAATTGTTCTTTTCCATCATTCGGTTGCCCCCTTACGAGCAACCCTCAGAAGTCTTCAAGAGACTTGTGCGAGCAAGGAATGACGAGGGCCTTACCTTTCAACATGTGATTCCAAACACTTCCTTAGGCCATCAGAAAAATTTTTGCAGTCGTGGTGGGAATCGAACTCACTACCAGTGATCCAACGTGGATAGAACATTGACACTCTTACCACGAGGCTATACGCTGGCTTAGATCTATAGTTTGAATAATAACAGTCCCTTATCCCTGAAACGAAGGTGATCTATTGAGAGTACATCCATCTCATGCTAGTTCTGTAGTCCTAGAATTCCTATGGAGCCAAGAGCTTTCCTAATGATTAATTTCTCCACTCCTGAACGGTGTCATATCAACTTTCTTCAAAAAACACTCTCGATAAACAATGAACTGTTTTGGTCACTTGCGTCAAAAGTTATGACATCCATTGAGATGTTACATCCACTTGAAGAGGCTTCGAGGCTCCTCTAAAGAAAAATACCAATTTCAAAGGAAACGATAGTCTTTTATTCGAGTACACAAAAATAAATATGGCGTGAAGACAAAGGCTATGAGAAAACTAACAAAACAAACATGAGGTATATACACAAATGAGCAACATTCTAAGCATTCGAGATCATTCAATGGTATCCGTGTCCGCCGAGCGAGTAACCTCCATGACCAAGTCCTGCAAGTCCTCCATGACCAAGTCCTCCAAGACCTCCGTGACCAAGAGCGATGGGAGCAGCAGCAATGGCGACGGGAGCGACAGCGATGGACTTGGTGACCACCTGGGGGTGCACAGCGTGTCCGGATCTGGTTACGACGGCGTTGAAGCCGTTGTGGTCGTCAGCGGTGTAGTGGACGGTACGTAGGGTACCATCGGGTTCGGCTACGGTGTAGGAACCCTTGACTACGTCGCCGTCGCGGACTTCCTTTTGGGACTTGTGGTCTCCGGTGTGGCCGTCGGCTACTCCGTAGTTGAACTCGTATTTGGGGTAGGCCTATCAAAAATGAGAATCTTTTGAGATTGGTGAAACCAGGTGTCATTATAGAAGAGATGAACTTTGTGTACAATCAGATGCAAGGAACATGTCGCTGTTGGATGGTGTTAGCGCTCTCAATGCAGAAGTGACTAGAGGTTTTATCATCGCCCATGTGCGACATGTGAATTGTATATGACTGTACCCTTTCTGAACAAGAAGCCTTGGACTGGGCCATAGGGTTTCCAGACTTCAGAAATTAGAATCTCTTGAGGTTGGGGAGGACAGGTGACACTTGCAAAGAACATGTCGCAATTGGATGGTGTTAGAGCTCTCATGGCAGAAGTGACTAGAGGTGCTATCATGGCCTATGTGCGACATCTTCCTCACTTTTGTGAACGAGAAGCCTTGGACAGGACCATAATATGGTTTCCAGACTACTTCAAAGTTGTCAATTTTATTAATTTGATCATGAGTCGAAATTGTCATATCACTTGTGATTTTCAAAGCAATAGACCATGATGTTTCTCGACATTAGGAAAATATCAAACTACGAGAACACAAGAAAACCAATTAATAATACACACGAAAGAATCTATATTGGAAGTAATTTCTGAACCTTCTGCAGTTAGATCCCTGAAGTTGGTTGTTTGAGGTAATGTATCAAAATTATGTTTCAGGTAGGTACTCAAATCATGATAATAATGTATTAGGCTAGGCACTTCAGTATCAGATATTGAAAAAATTAACGAATAAAAGTATATGTACTTGAAAAGTGGAATTCTCGTAAGCATGCAGAGAGTATAGAATTATGATGTTAATTTTGTTAGGACTGAAGGGAATAACTATATGTTTGTATGGAGCAATTGAAACGAATGAATATTGATTTGATTGATTTTGATGAGCTTCGATTTTCATTTTCGGACGTGTGTTACTCCATACGTGACGTCATCGATAAAGCAAAAACAACTGAGGAAGGTAAAGAAAAAGTTCGAGGAGAGTTCACTTCTCGACTTTCCCGATGTATTATAGTTAGTTGAAGTTCATCAATTTGGATCCTTATCAAAAATTGATGTTAGTATTCAAAGTAACTCGAATCGACGATTCTCGCAAGTATACATGAATAAAAAGAAAAAAGACAAGAACCCAAAATCGGTTGACCTCAAAATTATATTTGAACCGATGAGTATGTGTCACTAGTTTCGGCCTATATGACCATCATCAAACATCTGATAGAGAAAGCTATGAAATTTCATTTTTTTCATTTCATTTTTATTATCAGTTCACTAGGTATACATTTCTTATTATTTATAAATCGATTTTATTCCAGAGTAGGAATAGGCAGCACTCACTCTAAGTAACCAAATACTTGTTTCGTGACTGCAGGCCCCTCCCTACTCCACAAACTGTATTTTTTTTTTTCAAAAATAGCAAGTAGAGTATTTACAATTTGATAAATATTTTGAATAAGTGAAATTACATATTAATATGATAACTTCAATGGCGGATTATCAGATAATGAATATATGAATATATAATCATATTTATATATATACATATGTGTGTCCATAGGAATATTTAGATTCTATTTATAGGATGTAAAGATATCTAGAAAAGAATATCAAGAATATCTGGATGATTTAAAATATGAGATTTTATTTGAGTTTTGTATTTTTTGTAAGCTTTAATTTGTTTCAGATTAGTCGGAAGGAGGTTATATATTCTCGTTGCATAATAGAAAAAGGAATTTTTTGTGACTGCCTTTTTGAAGACTTCAGTTCTTATATTCAAATTGGTTGCGGATCTATTTCCTATATATGTCCCCGGTATTTTTCGCTGTTCATGAAAGAGACGAAGTAAACACTGATTAGCATACATTCCTTGAATATTCAAGATTTTTGTTTCTTTATATAGTAAGTCAGTGGGAAACAACCTGGCTTTGTTGAAAATCACTTTTAAAAGCTTATTTTGTGCTGTTTGGAGAGTGCTGAGTGTTGTTCTATAAGCCCCTCCCCAAGCTGTTATGCAATACCTTATTATAGATTCTGCAAGTGAATTATAAAGTATTGTTAAATTTTTTTTTGTTAGAATATCTCGAAGTTCATAAAATTTATGCATTAGCACTCTTATTCTTTTTGCTACATATGTTATATGTTCTGTCCATTTTAAGTGTTGGTCTACTACGACTCCAAGATATTTTATGCAGCTGGTTTTTTCTAAGTAACTGCATTTACAATTATGGGGTTTAGAACAGTAGCCATTGTGTAATTTCATTTGATCTAGGTTATTGGGTTGGTCTACTATTGTAGGAGAAAAGGTAATATATTCAGTTTTTTTAATATTGAGTGTCAGCAAATTATTATTGAGCCACAAGTACAGTTTTTGTAGATCGTTTTCAGCATTTTGTTTCACCTGTTCCCAACTTCTTTCGGAAAATATAAGGGCTGTATCATCAGCATAACAAACTAGATGACCTTTGAAATTGTTGATTTTAGTGATACTGTTCATATAGATCAAGAACAAAATTGGTCCAAGTACTGTACCTTGTGGTACCCCTGTTTTTATAATATTGATAGAGCTGTAGGAGTTTCCTATTTTAACCTTCTGTGTTCTATCTGTTAAATAATTTTTCATGAGTTCTAGAGCTGCACCTCTGATGCCATAATTGTTAAGTTTATCCATTAAATGTTCATGTTCGACGGTATCGAACGCCTTGGCCAGATCCAAAAAAACTGCAATGCATCTTGATGAATCGTCCAAGGCCTTCGTTGTAGTTCTTAAAAAATCAATTAAGGCAGTTTCGGTGTTGGAGTTTTTTTATAAAGCCAAACTGCCTGTCTGTTATAACATTATGTTTATTTAAAAAGGATATAATTCTCGATTTTAACGATTGTTCAAAAATTTTTGAGAAATTATTGATAATAGATATAGGTCTGTAATTATCTACTCTTGAGGGATCTCCCGATTTCAGAATAGGTGTTATGATTGACTCTTTCCATTGTTTGGGAATTCTTCCGTGGGTAAAACATAGATTTATTATATGTATTAATGGTCGGACAAGATGAATGTGAATGTATTTTATTGTTTTAGTGGTAATTTTGTCCGGCCCGGGTGAGCAGTTCATTTTTAGATTTGATATATAAGTAATTAGTTCTTCTTTGGTTAAAGGTTCAAGAAATATCGTATGATCAATTTTTGTGTCACTCAGAAAGTTAGTGGGCAACTCAGTTTTGTCAATTTTTTTTGCCATATTTTCACCAAGGTTTACGAAGTAGTTATTAAATTCGTCAGCTTTTTCTTTTTCTTCTGTTAAAGTGTTTCCGTTTTCTAAGTTGATACAACTATCTGGAAAAAAATCCTCCCTAAGGAAATACATGTGTGAAAAGTGAGGTTGAATCTGGTTGTAGCCTAAAACTGTCCTGATGGGAACAATCAATGGTTATATCGACTGAACAACCAAAAGAATCGACTTACAATTGGGTTGAACATCAGATATATCGAATGGTTGAGAGATTTTGGAAAACATTCACTACTAAACAAAGTTTTGAAAAAAGGAGACGAAGAATTTGTATCGCAAAGTACGATGAAAATCGAAATTAAAAGGAGATGGACGAATAACTAAGCTGAAGTCGATAACAGGGTCGGTTTAAGTGGGAAGTTCGGAAAAATTTTTGTTATAATTTCAACTTCTACTGTTTAGTTCCTACTTTAACCTTATCACCTATTTCTGTCATCAATTCGTTTTACAAATATAATTGAATTAGTTCGTCAATTAAGGTTTCAACATTCCTTTTCATTGATTGTACAAAGTGGAATATGTCGATTCGATTTGCATTATCATCAGATATCACTGTGAAAATTGTCATTCTGTCATTCATTGTCCGAGAGATCCTCTGTTGCTGGCTTTGTCTTGCGGCCACCAGTTTGATGATCTCAATGTCTCAGTGAAAGTTTTTCAAAATCTCTCAATCATTTTATTTTCCTGATGATCAACCTAATTGTAAGTCGATTCTTCTGGTTTTTCAGTCTATATAATTATTTATTGTTCCCATCAGAACTGTTCTTCCGGCTACAACCTTATTCAACCTCAGTTTTCATACATGCATTTTCTTAGGTTAGATTTATCTCCAGATAGTTGTTGTATAGTATTTCATCGCTTTCCTGTACAGGTTCTTATATTGGTGTCTGATGATGACCATGTAGTCCGAAACTAGTTACACATATACTCATCGTTCCAAATATAATTTTGTGGTCGGCCTACTTTGGGTTTTTGTTTTCTCTTGGAAAATTCTGGACCACTTCAAGAAAATGGATGGTATTAGTGAGATAAACTATTCAGAACCGACCAGTTTTCATTTGCACCATATTGTTAGAGACCTCGGAGAAATGAAGTATGTAAATATATGTTGCTGTCTCTTGATTATAAAATCAGATTGCTCAGATCTGTGCATATAATAGCTTACTTGCAACACAACAAGTCCTCACTGTGAAATTATTTCAACAATTTTCTACCAAATTACATATATAGCGAGGCGTTACACAATGTTGATCTACTTCATCAGGACATGTAATTGTGATAGTTCTTTCTTATCACATTCCATTCAAGTGGATAACAGAAACGAAGGATACTCCAATTCTAATAATCCACTTCCAAAATAGAAATATTAAATATACAGGGTACAGAGTGATATTGAAATGAATACAAATATTTCAAACTATAAGAAACCTCGACGTATTCCATCGAATGGATATCAAAAAAATATAAGGATCAAAATGTTACAATTCTGACGTTAACTTCTGTACAAATTTTGATGGGCGAAAGCACAATCACGCTGAGTTCAATCATTCAAATTGTGTCTTAGAGTGGCGTACTTGTTTTTGGTCTTGTTCAATTTTCAAGATGAAATTTCTCGTAGATCAGAAAAATTAGGAAAAAGCTGATATTGTGGGAATATTTGCTAGACTGTTTTATAATGATGTGTTGAATATATTATGTACCCATTTCGTATGAACTATCAATAAATGAGAATATTAGTAATTTCTCAATATGATTCCAGTAAGGACAGATCAGATGATTTGCCTTGCAATGTTCTTTCGTTCTTTCAAAACTCCACAATGAGAAACCTGAATGATTAATTCAATCCATAGTCAGTGACATGTTGGCGAATGAAAACAATGCTCAAGCAGAGCAAAAAAATGCCAAAACCAAAACATCAAAGAATCGGATATAGGGTTCACGAATGAGCTGGAAACGGTAGAATATTGAAACGAGAAGAGACGTTGAAAACAATTTTGAGAAATGAATTGTACACAGGGTGTTCTCGTAATTCTGGCGATGAATAAAATTAGACATAATGAAACGATGAATCACAAGAAAAAAAAATTCAGAATCTCTTTCAAAAAATGTGCGCTTCAACATTAACTTCATTTTCTAACTTCTTCCAACAACGCTTGGGTTGGGCAATTAACCTCTGATCAGATTAACAAACATTTCAGGCAAATTTTGACGCTCAACATCTCCCAATTATATTATCCGACAAAAATGTATTCTTTCATTTTGTTTTGTTTTTCCGTCTCCTATCGTCTATTTAATTGATCGCTCCAATTTCGGGAACACCCTGTATACGATGACTTTTCTTACGTAATAGTCAACAGATTGGTGTACTGGGGCAGCATGGGCGATAGCGATTGGAGCTGCAGCAAGCCCATATCCATGTCCTCCACCAATAAGTCCTGCTTGACTGCATGCTACGAGAGCAGAAAGAGCTACGATCTGAAAAAAATCATGAAAATGAAAATCACCTTCAGCAATGAAGTTCCGTGAATCTCAACTCCAGAGTAATATTGTGATTTGATGAAGTAAAACCGGAAGCCACAGAACTTTTGTTACCAGAATAGTGGAGCAGCATATTTTCTTGTTTCATTTCAGAAAGCCTCGAAATCATAACGTAAAGATATGCTCTTCTAATTTGAGAGTTTCAAGGAACGTTTTACCTTCACTACTTCAGTTGCATATTAATCCATTTTTTCAGAAACCATCATGCACTCCCGAATAGTTGATTGAATTTCTGAGACTATTCCACTCATCACATAATCTGATCAATCACAAGCCAGAGATAACTTGTGCTTATTGGTTATAATTGCACGAGTGAATAAAAATTACCGATAATTTTGGCATGTTTTCAACGATGTAACCATGGATGAATAATCGAAGTCTGGATGTGATCATGGATAGCGAAGCAAAGTCTGTCAGTTTGGCATGAAATGATTATGACAGTACTTGTCAGAATGAATCCCTAATTCATAATCAATGCTTTTTATGCTTCGTGAACGTGAAATAGTCAAGCAAACTACCATACTACTCTGAATATATTTCCATAATTCTGTCTTTCATTGTTAACTCAATTGTGTTGCCGTACAGCAATTCTATACTCGTCCTGACGAACTCGTGATGCTGCTCGGAAACACATTTTCGTGAACAATGTAGCAACATAATTATCTCGAATATTCAGAACATCGTGATATTGGGTGGCGGAAATTTGATCGAAAGACAAATGATAGAAAAACATTTGATAGAAGTATTTTGATCGAAAGTGTTCTTGATAGAAATGCATTTGATCGAATGTTTTATGATGGATACATAAATGATAGAAACTACACTTGATAGGAAAAATATTTGATAGAAAATACACTTGATAGAAACAGCATTTGATAGAAAATTCAACGGGGCTACGTTCAAGTTAGGTCAGTACGTTTGTGAAGATATGATCCTTCTTCATATATTTGAGAAGAAGGAGCTAGATGGAAATCGAAGCTTATGAATTAATTGATACCACAAACTTCTAGCTCCTTCTTCTCTAATATATGAGAAAGAATCATATCTTCACAAACGAACTGACCTAACTTGAGCGTAGCCCCGTTGAATTTTTTATCAAATGCTGTATTCTCTATCAAATATTTTTTCTATCAATTGTATTTTCTATCATTTATGTTTCTATCAAATGTATTTTCTATCATAAAACATGCGACCAAATGTATTTTCGCTGAAGAGTTCTTTCTATTTTTTGATTTTCGATCAAAAGACTTCTATCAAATGTTTTTCGATCAAATTTCCGCCACCCCGTGATATTACTTATGAGCATCATAAGAACTCCATGAGCATAGTAAATTTTATTTCAGTAGGTTTCAGAAATTGTTGTATTTCGAAATAGTCTGTTCAATTCCAATAAGCTTCAATAATGCCTATATGTTACAGATGACTTGTTCTACAAAAAGTTAATTAATTTATCAATTTTCAAAAGATATTTTGTACTTGGAAAAGTGTCATTTCTTTTTTGCGGTATATGATGGTGTTGAAAAAACTCACTATCAATCCAAATTGATTTTGTTTTTAACAAAAATCTGATTTTCATTCTATTCCCAATCAACTGTGTCTAGAGAAATATAAGTTAATGAAATCTGAACATGATACATGATGTTATTTGAAATAAGATTATAAATTATGGTGTCTGCCGATGTCCCCACTGTTTGGAAAAAAATTATTTGCAAGGAGCACTGAATTTTAGGAGTTTTAGCAGAAAAGTGTACACTACACTATTGACACTGAGATATTTTGCTAAAAATACCAATCTCTTCATCTTGTTGAATTTACATATAATATAATTCATATTAGGAACACTGACTTCTGAGAGCAATAATTATTCCCGATTATGAAGATGTTTGTTTATTTAATTCGATAGAATTAGCTCATGAATCACCATTTTAGTCAGTCAAGTAGATATCACAAAATGTTTTTTCTCAGTATTTTATCCTCTGATTCTTGATCGGTTTCATGATTTTGTACTGAGAATGAAAAATTCTTGGAAAAACTACTGTTACTACACAGTAAAAAACCGCTTCGAGTGAAATCCGTAGAGTATGTTTTTAGAGTTAAAATACTCTGACAAACTCACTCTAATACTGCAATCAACTCTATTACTACACTTCTCGCAGATTATCTCCTTCGAAACTAATTCTAGATTGAATTTTCACTATTCTCGTATTGAATTCACTCTATATTCCTGAAATTTCAATAAAATATCAATTCAGATAACTCAATTCACAAACAATTGAAATTGAATTCATACTAGTGTTCACTGACACTAGTGAACTTGAATATTCCTCTCTTACCGATTAAATTGACACTCTATCATTGTTCAATTCAATCTATATACGATGAAATATCAATCTATACAGTTTCAGATCGTTCAGTCTACTAGATAGTGAAATAAGTAATACAGATTATAGTGTCGATGATTTAATGATCATATTAGCTTCAAGTAGCTTTTTTACTATACCCGCGTAGTGAGAAATTTTTTTACAACATTGAGTTATGAACGTATTTCCGTTTACCTACCCCAGTTATTTTCCGTTTTTTCCGTTTCGAATTATTATTTCGGAAGATTTATGAAACAGATATAGGTTAACTAATTAGTCTAGTGGGACTCGAGTCATTTTTCAAATATCAAACGATTAAAATATTATAAAGTCACACTACTTCTCATCCGTCAATTCTCGCCACTGCATAAAGGTGGCGCTGTGGAAACTTCGCCGCTGAACGTCTGTCGGGGGCCTATAAATACTGTGACATGTGAAAGAATGGTTAATTTATTTTGGATGAAATATCAACAGGAAGTAGTGACTAGTTTACTCAACTAGTGTTCTATATCAAATCTAAAATGATGAATGAATGATAACTCCTTATTAGCATCTGAACAAATAGTAGTGTCAATTTGAACAATGCAGGAGCAATTTGACATCCACGTAGAGTAAAAAATTCAATCAATTCCCGGTGGATCCGACACTGTTTATAGTGTGGAATCTACTCTCTACTATTATATTACAACTCTGAACTTTTGTGATTATCTAATATTCGGTTATTGAATTTCACTCTAAAGTGATGATATTGACACTAGCTTGGGTCTTGAGTGGAATATTCACTCTCGAAATTGTTTCTTTCAACTCTATTTTTGTGTTTATTCAATATATTCATAGAAATAAATAGAGTAAGTTTCAATGTGCTTGCATTGAAAATTTACACTAATTGAATTGAAAAAATCACACTATAATATACTAAACTATAGAGTTGAATCATTCACTCTAAAGCTTAGTGGTCCTCCTGGGAACAGGTATAGTGTTAAATTTCACTCTATTTTTTTTACTGTGTATTATCATAACACTCAATTATCATTGAGTTGATAACTATAAATCAGAACTAAATCTATCTGAAGAATAATTATGCAAATAATGACACATGAAGAATTGATTCACAGAATTTCGTTCGGAAAACTTTCAACCCCTCAGAGCTCCCACCCTTACACACCTTGGCGAACATAATTATTCGTTATCTTGCACTGTACTGTAAACCACACAACACTGACTTCTCAACCCGTGATTCCCGCTTATATAGATCCATCCCTAATGCCTACTTGACGTTCACCACGATTACCACAAGAAAAAAAAGCCCTGGACGATAATGTATCCAAGGCATGAACGAAAGTAAATTGCGACAATAGCAAGGTCTGCGTTGCATTTTTCCTAGATGCGATATCCACCTACCGGGTTTTTTGGTGCCAAATGTGCAGTCAGACGGAACTCAGAATGATGCGTGTTCGACTTCGAACAGTCAGTAGTTGCATGAACTTCACAGAGCTGACCAGTGTTTGCGAAAATTCTTCAAGCGCAGTTTTTTTCGGTATCTCTCAAAATCTCACTAATTCATCAAAAGTAATATTGAAACTAGATAGTGTTGATGGTGTACAGGGTGGGCCAAATGGAACACTTTTCTTCTTTCTCGAACCAGATGGAAGAAAACTGATGTCGGTGCCTGAGGGTCGATTCTCATGAAAAACTCAATAGTGAAATCTGCATATCGATATCTGTCTTCGTTTCGGAGTTACAAAGGGTTTTTCGAAAATGGACATTTTTGAAAAGTGGCTACATATATTATTTTTGGCAGAAATTGTCTGTTCTTATGAAAATAGCTGCAAAGCATTGAGTTTGTAATAAAAATTGTTCTCGAGCACTATAATCGGCCTAACAATATCTAATTCAAGAATATAAATTATTGTTCTTCTTGAATGAAAAGTTCTATTATGCATCTAGGTAGGTATACGGTGACTGATTTTAGTGCCTGAGGATCAATTTCCATGACAAATACAATGATTTGGAAATGTTCCCATGGATACGAAGAAATTTTGACTAAAAGAAAGAGTTTCAGCCACTTTTCGAAAATTCACATTATCGTAAAACACCTTGTAACTCTGAAATAAAGATAGATATCGATATGCGGTTTTCACCTTTGAGTTTGAAATGATGTGAATTGATCAACAGGCACCGACATCAGTTTTAATCTATCTTGTACGAGAATAGGACTTTTCCTTTGAAAGTGCCCTATTTGCACCACCCTGTACAGTCGACTAGAGTGATGTTTTCAAAGATTTTTCTCTACACACACCGGCACAATTAGGGAAACGGGCAAAATTTACACTAGTTTGACATCAATTTTCTCTTGAACCCATCGCTCGATTTCGATTTGTTTCCAAGAATTGTAGCTGGATTCTTGAAGAATGCATCTAACAAATAATCCCTCTCCCCCAAACGATTCGTCTTTATATTATGTACAGGGTTTTGAAGATATTACGGATTTTTCGGTATTTTTCAAGACATACTGTGGAGTGTACCACTGATAATTGAAAATTTGACACAATCTCTTTCGAATATTTTCATTTTGTACTCATTCTGATATCTCGATTTTTACAGAATGTATAGAATTTTTAAGGAAATGTGGATATTGATATCAATTTTACCCACGTCTACACTCGAACTGGGGATATGAAGGTGTCGTTTTTCAACTTGTTCCTGTGAGGATTTTTACTTCAAGATGAAAATTGTTCACACATTTGAAGTTTATCAGAAATTGATTGCAGCGTCTCGTGCCGCACCTGCACTCACTTCAAACAAAAATTCAAACTTGCCGACGCCGCGCAGTGCGGGATATTCTGCAATTGATTTTGGATATACTTTTTGTTTCTCTATCGGTTTATTGTAAAGATAGATGGATGGATAGATCTCAATTCAATGAGGCACCCTAATAGACATAATAATATATATAAAATAATAATAATAATTATAATAATATAAAAGAATTATAAACTATGAATAAGAAATAATAATAGGCATAATGTGTATAAAACTATAGGGAAATAATGAATGATTTGATCATGAAATATGACTAGTTATTGATGGTGAAAATATGCACGAAATCCGACATACACATCCAATTGCAGTTGAAAAAAGTTGATATATTTCAGATATAAATCGATAAACATAACGATTTATAATGAAACAAATGTAAAGCAAAATGCACTGATTGCAAGTTCTAAATATCTATCGTCGAGACAGATGGTGTTGAGTTTAAAGATTTTCAATTAGGATTTTCATATTTTTTTCGAAAGTAGTAAGAGTGGGAGTGTTTTTCATTGTATGAGGGAGTTGATTAAACTCATGGAAACCTTTGAAAAACAAAGAACTCATAGTGTTCTTGCGGTTTGTTCTGGAGATATGAAAATCATCACAATTTCTGGTGAGATATGAATGCACATCTCTTCGAAAAATCAAATAAGTTATTTGTATCTTGAAGATGAAGACCATCGTGAGATAATAATTCCTTTGAGACAGTAAACCATTGTGAAGTATTGAACATAACAACAATGGGTATATATCGATTGACTTTTAAAATTATTCGCAGCTTTTGTAGTTGGTTTAATTTATTCAGGTCCCATGAAAATAATATAGAGGCGCAGTAATCAAAATGAGGATGAACTAATGTGTTAAAAACTGTTATTTTCGTTTCCATTGAGAGGGATTGTGTTATTCTAGAGAAAAAGTATAGTGTGTTCCCTATTTTTCTTAATATATACTCAAAATTAATATCGAAAGATAGGAAGTTTTCCAAGTGGAAACCAAATACTTAACTGTTGATACTATTTCAATTCTCTCATTATTTATCATTAAATCTATATCATTAATATTCAGTGCCTTATATTTGTGTTCCGTTGTTGATATCATTCTTTTCGTTTTCGAGGCATTCAATTTGAGTTTATTAATCAATCAATGATCATGTACGTCTGTTAACACTGCGTTCATTTTTTGAATTGCTCCATACGAATACGCTTATGGAGAGGCAGCGTGTGATAATAGTTGCTTTAATGTTCATTTGGTGAAAAACTATCTGTGTTTATCAACGTTGGCAATTTAGTTTATGTGATTAATAACTATTGCCGTAATCAATAATAGATTTTGACAATAAAGCAAACTATCAAACCACTTCTTCACCTTGATTCTCCCACAGAAAAATAGGTTAAGATGCTGTATACACATTGGCTCAGATACCTTGAGAAAGAAAGAAATTCAAGAACTAGGTTGAAAATTACTGCAAAAATAAAATTCTCAAACTCAAGCATAGGTTAAGAAGAAGAAGAATGGCTGTACCTATACATATCAATCAATCAATAAATCTTTTATTTTCCTTAAAATGACGAAAAAATTTCATTTTGTATAGGAATAGTCAGCACCTTATATCTAACTTAAAACTAAAACTGAATAAATAAGATAAAATAAAAACAAGCATGAGGGGTTATGGGTCTAGATAATTTGAGATTAAACGACTTACCTAAGGAAGTTCAATTCTCAATTATATGAGATAGCCACGTCCGAAGAGATCACAAATGTAGTTGTTCCTTGTCGCTCCGACCCTGTGCGTAATGTTTAAAATCGTGCAAAAACTCATCAGCATCGCCCGATGCCGAATACCTTCTGATTCATTATAGTTTTGCGCTTTCTACTTAGATGGCTACAAGAGGGGTGACTAGATGTCGCGGGGGGTGGGTTGTGATCTCTTCGGACGTGGCTATCTCATATAATTGAGAATTGAACTTCCTTAGGTAAGTCGTTTAATCTCAAATTATATTTCGATAGCCACGTCCTCGAGATCACAAATGTAGATGTTCAAAGTTTTGTAGCTATCTAAGGCCCTCTATCGAGTGATAAAGTACACAATATGTAATGAACCATTTAATTGTTTCAATTCATATTACTTACAAGTAACAATAATAAATATTCAACATTATTGATAAATAATAAATTTGACATCAACATATCATGTAATTGAGTTGACCTCAAGATCACTGTGCCTCGAAGACATATTTCGCAAATAAATCACTTTCTATGGGCTTATTGTAAAATTTACAAAATGTTTTCGATTTATCCGACCATCCAGCAGCCTTTCGAATATTTTCTATATTGAGGCCTTTTTTGAATGCGCATGACGTTGAAGCGTGACGTGTGCTATGGCTTTTGAATTTTGTAATGTCGACACCTCCTTGTTTGAGGCCATTTTTAATCCACCTACTGATGGTTTGTGTAGTTGCTGGATGGTGGGGTTTTTTGAACGTCAATAATAATTGATCATATTCTCCTCTCAGGTTATGTGTTACATGAATGTAATAATGGAGTGTGGAAGCCACACAGAGATTTGGTTTTTCCCTGAAAAAAGGTAATATCATTATCGGCTGGGTTCTGTTAGGGGCTGATGTTTTTAGAATATCGGTTACTCTTATTTCAATTCTATCATCGAATCTGACTATGTTAGATGTCCTGATTTTTGATAAGGTTTGTACCCGTTGTGCTGTAGCTAGGGCTAAGAGTACAACTAACTTTATCGTAACTTTTTCTAAGTTGAGTGATTCTATGGGTGAGAGTGTCTCTAAATGTGCCAGAACCGGGCTTGGGTCCCAGATTTCGTTGTACCTTGGAAAGTTAGGACGGGTTCTGAACACACCCTTCAAAAATCTGTTAATAATTTTTTGCTCAAAATTGAGTAACGTGCTGAGGGCTGATTTATGTATGTTGAGGGAGGCATATGATGCACCGGCATCGAATTCTTTTTGTAGAAACTGAATTATTTTATTTTCAGAGGGGCTAAAGACATCAGCACCCCCACAGAATTTCCACCATTTGAAATATGTGGTATTGTATTGTTTTTGGGTAGCGGGGCTGAGAGAAGCAAGGATCATGCCTGTTGATTCTTCTGGAACTCCTCTGAATATGTATGCCTCCCTGATAACTTGACTGCACCCAGGGTAAGTTTTTTCCACAATGGATGCGGTTCTCTGGAAGGAGAAAGAAGTAAAGATTCGGCAGGCTCGATCACCATAATATTTGTTATTTTGAACTTTTCTATTATAGGAAACCAAGGTTGTGATTTCCAGATAGGGAAAACTAAGATGCCTTCAGCTTCGTCGGAAATGATTTTGCTGAGAGTTCTAGTTAAAAGCGAAAAAGGTGGAAAAGCGTAAAAATTAAGTTTTTTCCAGTTTAGAGTAAAAGCATCT